CTTATGTCCGCATAAGTGACCTATGCTCGGGCGCCCCCCGGTGTGTCCGCCAAACGGATCCAACCTCGAAACCGGCACACGCCCAACGCTGCAACGAGTAGATCGTGACATGATTACTCCGGGATATTGTATTTCAGTCTTCCTAAGATCCACCACTGTTTCCAAAGCTTGCATTTCATTCACCGTTGCTGAGGATATACCTGGATATACACGAGACGAGCTGACAGTTGACTGAGAAGCATAAGAGACACCACTCAACCTAGTACAAGGACTACTGGGTGTGACACTTCGACGACTTGGTATGTCCGCCAGGTGATCGGACACCAAGACCGGCAAGGCCCTTGTGTCCGCCGTGATATACCGGACATGGACCGAAATTTTGGGCTTTATGTCCGCCTAAATATCCGACATAGGGCCCCAAAATTGGCCGTTTATGTCCGCACTAGGATCAAACATATATACCAGTATGCCGGGGTCCTGCCGAGCTCCCATATGGCTGTTTAGACGCCGTCGTCACCAAAGTTCCGACCACTTCGACTCATTTGAAACGTCCAGACCGGCACAAAAGGTTGATTCAGGGTTCGGGGTAGAAATGCGCGAAACGCTGGATAGCGAAGATCATTCAGTAGAATTTATCACTGCAGAGGAGTTCTATCAACGGGGTCAACCTAATGATTCGCCGAGTGATGCCGCCTTGCGTCCGCTTCTATCACTGTCCTTCAACTAGGCTAGTGACCACCCTCTCTAGCAGATTGAGGCAGAATCTACAACGCGGATTCTGCCTTAATCCGTTGTAGAGGGTGGTTACGAGCCTGTCCTTCAACCCATCAAACAAAATGTTGGAAGACATTCCTCGTCCGCCATCAGCCTCTGACCGGCCAAACATCGATTCCGCTTCTTCCTGCACGAATACCGGCGAGATGACCTCTGCGCTTAGCGAGACGAGTAGTCTGGTTTGGACAAATGGCGTTGCTGTAGCCGAGTAGTAGTAGCTAAAACGGCTTATCGCCAAGCAGGAAGGATCTTTGGCCGTGCTGCACCAGCAGAACGAAGCAGATTCAGCGAGCACTCCCTTCAAGTTGCATCCTTCCATCGGTGACGTCGGTACAGGTACTGCGTCTTCTGGTGGAGCCAACAGTGAGGACGAACACAGATTGCCAATACGCCGCCGATTGCAAGAGGACATGGAAAGAATCCTGTCCCAGCTTGCACACAGGACGAGCCGCCCCCAAGTATGAGTAGAGCTATGGTGATATATGTATGTATACGTCAGGTCAGGACTGTTCGCGATGTCGCGAGATCTATGTTTCTTGTCACTATATTCGTGTTTCCTGGACCTGCCTTTTCCTTTTTGGATCAGGCTGTAGTACGATGGCGCTCTTGGTGACAAACAGGTCGTCTCGCGTTATTGATCATATCAACTTTACTCCACATGACCTAGGTCGAAGTACGATAACCCAGTAACCGCTTGGCTTCACGAGGGGTTATCACTGCGCAGAAATAAGCAAGAAATAAGTATCTGTTCTGCGCGCGAGAACGTAAGGAGTCCTTCCAGTCATGGTCTGCTGCCATCATTCCAGTAAACAGGTGTAGAGAATGGGTTGAGGTATGGAAGCCTCATCAATAGTCAGGTCTCCTCCAGAACTTATCGAACCACTGGCAGCGAATAAGAGGCCAGGAACGATTTCAAATTGTGCATTCTTTGACGCGACAGTCACAACCGTGACTGCACGTGCCTATGGTGTCCAAGGACGCGATACCTTGCCATTCCTTGATTGACTGCTCCCTAACCCGCACCATGAAGAGGGCGCTTGCTACGGCTGAAGCTACAGTAATCGCAAACTCTCTCCGCACAGTATCTGGGCATGCATCCGCCAAAGTTACCATTGCCAACAAGGCTCGTAAGAGGAGAAAGGTGGAGGCCTCGAAGTGCGATTGAACCACGTCTCTCCCTTCGTAATAGCCACAAACTAACGGGATTCTATCAGCGTAACAACAGAGCTATTGGCTTCTGTGGGCTCGAGTAGCCAAACAACGGAAGGCTGTGCAACGCTCGAACTGCTCGAGCGTGAAACAATGGGAGAAAGCTGGTATCATGCGCTGACGCCCGAGTTTTCCAAGTCATACTTTCAGGAAGTAATGTCCTTGTAATCTTGACTTTTTCGTAACCATACTCACAGTACTTGACAGCTCAAGCAGTTCCTCATATCGGAACAGAAGCAGGGCGTCATATATCCTCCGCGTGAGTGCGGTGTTAACGTTAGTGTGGCCACAACTCGTGAATCGCTTGGGGCACACAGCTAAAGACATCTACGCATGGTCACGGATCACCTCTCTTGACTCCGTCAAAGTGGTTGTTATCGGGCAAGTGCGTAAACCCCCTCCGTGGCTTCTGCTGCCTTCGGAACTCACTGACATCCATCCAGGATCCCTATCATGACGTGGGACAAGCTCATGGTACGCTAGTTCGTCAGAAGCCACGCAAGACATCTCAGCTGACAGACACCCTCTAGGACTAGCATTCTCCGTCCTGCCACCGACCAGAGTTCCTCCGTCCCTCCGAAACATCTACAAGCAAATCAAAGCAGACGTCCCATCCTTCATCATACCAACCACAGGGTAGGTGGTAGCTTTTATCTTTCCCCCTGCTTCAAATCCATGACCACCGTGTAACCACAGCGACCTGACGCCCCTGGCCAAGCAAGGCGTCCTCTGTCTCAATACCTGCCTCACTGTGCGTGCGCACAAGGCCAACTCGCACGCCGGCAAAGGCTGGGAGACGTTCACGTCGGAGGTTCTTCGCGCGGTCACGTCCCGCAAGAGCGAGCGGGGTGTGGTGTTTTTTGCGTGGGGCATACCTGCCCAGAAGACGTGCGAGAAGATTGGGATAGACGAGGTGAATGCCTCCGTTGATTTTTTTGTTCGCAACCTCTGACAGTGCTCGTTCGTCAGACTAAGCACCTTGTTCTGAGGTAGGCAGCATTTTGACTGATGTAGGAATATCGCCTAACTGATCCCGCCTGCCGCTCAGATCCCCGCATCCTTCGCCGTTATCTGCACACCGTGGATTCCTAGGCAACGGGCACTTCAAGGCCGCCAATGCCTGGCTGCGCGAGCGCTACGGGGACGGAGAAGAGATAGACTGGACCGTCCTGAGCAGTGCCTCACCGTAAAGCCTTACTTTCCCATATGTTTCGGGATTTATCATTTTCAAGACTACAGTACTTCTACAGGACAGTTGCACCGATAGCTACACGTGTACTAACAGACAACAACGAAAGCAATGCAAGAATACATGGAGATCAGCCTGTTCTTGTATAAATGAGAGGTAAAGAAGCAAAAACACGCGGGCTCATCGATGACTCCGCCATGTCTGCGGCCCAAAAGGATTCGGGGGAGGTGAGAAGACCCCAGAGGCAGGAGGCGCAGAATGGATGGGAGCAGGGAAAGAGTTGTTCCCCTGCACATTTTGGAGCATGGGCCGGCGCAGGTGGGCCGGGTGATACGCCGCAAGGTGATGATGTCCGTAAGGGGGCGGGCTGCCCGCTGATGAGTTTGTCGGGGTTGAAGGCTTGGAAGGCGCTACGGATAGTGGCGGTCTCCACATCTGCACGCAGAATGACATCAGTCGAGAGTACGCGCTGCCAGAATGACCGCGACGCGTCTCACATGTTTCTTTCCCTCCCTATAGAGTTCCTCGAGCTTCTGATCGAACGTCCCCTCCTCTTCGAAGCGATGGTATGCCTTGTACAACCTCAGCGCCGTCCGTGCGTCCTCGATCGAGTCGTGAGTCTCCGTCTGGATGTTCTCCTGCAGCACAAACCAGGCCAGGAATTTGAGCGAAAGACGCCGCTGTCTTTCTTTGATGAAATACAGGTCGACCGTATCTATCACCTGCTCGGGAGGAACGAAGATATCTGCGAGCCGCTCAGTACTAAGCATTATAAGAAGAAGTTGTAAGGCTCACTGATTATGCGGAAGTCTTTTGTAAGCCCATGTCCTATGAATATGCATCCTCTGTCGACCAGAAGTCTGAGCTTCTTGTAGACCAACTTCAGAGGAGTCAGAGTATAACGGGACAGGGCTGGATCCAGATCTCCGACTGACAACAGGCCTTCAGACGAGCTTGAACGACAAAAGACGCAGCACTCACACTTGATGCCAGAGAATTCAGTCAGGTAGTCAACGATCGTCTCACTGGTATGGATGTGATCATCGATAAACGGGACGCCTTGCTTAGGGCCGTCGTTTCCGCGCAACACCGATACTCGGGCAAGACTAAGACGGGCAGGGCGAAGCACCTTCTTGGTCCCGTCGGAGCGATATTCTACTTCTTCCTATATGGCACGAAGATTTGAGAATGTGCCATAGAAAGAGGATGCATATGATGTACCTGCTGCATGGATACGAATTCCGCGTCGATAGCCACCAGGGTCCCTGGCTTAGGCAGTTCATCATACCGTAAACACTCATGCTTAATCAGGGATTTGTCACGGTTTCTATTGGTAGGTCAGATCTTGACATAGTCAAGCGAAACACTGTTACTCGCAATGAAATATTGGTGTCAGTGCACAGGATCGTCTCGTCAAGCTGGTCCGGCAGCGCGCTGAAATCCAGTTTGTCCCGTAGATCCACACGCTCCAGATATACCACAGCTGGAACCTAAGCGAGACAAATGTCTGTCGGCACGAGAAATCTGCAAGTCCCAACCGGCTTACCTTCCATTTGCCAGGGAAGCTCAATGCTTCGGCTTCCGATACATTGCGGACCATGAAGTCGTTGAAGACGAACCATGGACTACGATCAGGAGTGCTAGGAGCATCCGGGACTGGAAAGATGTTCATTACAATGCATTGCGAACCTGACTTCCAGACGCACCCTTCACTATCGCAACCAGGTGCGAGCTCCCTGTCTTAGGAACAACTTGAACCACCATGGCCTGTCATCGTAAGCCAAACGTGAGTTGCACTAGTCCGGAACATCCGCAGCAAGCTTGGCCTACCCTAAGCTCGTACATCACTCCCTCAGGATCGTCGACTCCTTCGATCTGGCCATGCACCTCCATCATCGGACTCAAGAATCGGTGCCTGCGATTGTCCAGCCAGAACTTAAAGCTCTCTTCATTGTTCACGAATGCATTGACAGCTAGAATCGCCGGGAGGTCGCGGGTCGGGATCGACCGCTTGGTCTCGAAGGTCGCAAACTGCTTGCATGTCTGGCACGTCGCTTTGTGCGTCATCTGGCGGATCAGCGAGTTCCGCAGGATCGACACGAAGTCATGTTGGGTGGTTGAGTCTTCTGGGTATAGCTAGACAGCAATCGGATGTTCATGTGAAACATGCACGGAGAAGGTTTGGAATACCTTGCGAGGGTATATCATATCCACCATATGCGTCATATTCTCCTTCTCCCTCACAGCTTTACAATTCATACATGTTATAATGTTCTTCCCATCTATGCCCAGAAGTTGTGTAATGGGCGCCGCAGCAGGGGACGACGCGGAGCCCGCAAATGCTGACGGGACGAGCGACGGGTTGTGCGGGAAGGCGTTACCCTCGGAGCTGATGTGATCGATGAGGAAGCGGTGGAAGGACTGGATAGTGTGCGCGTAGTTCGTGTCGGGCGCATCACGCCCGTAATCAATGAGTTCGATGGCGTTTTGGGCTGTCAGAATCAGCGTCAAGGCGAGTCCACGTGTTCATCTATATGACGGTGTAATCACCTTGCGCTAACATCCCAAGCGTCTTGCAGAAATTGCTCGCCTGGCAATTGATCCCGCGCGCGTCCTCGAGCATGCGGTTAACAAAGCCCAGCTCGCACAATAAACAATGCTCCCTGGGGCAGTTCGTCGTGATATGCGACTTTGCTAGCCGGCGGATCGGCAGGGTGTAGTGCATGAGCTGCACCATCGAGTTCGTGTACGAGTTCAGGATGTGTGTCTCCAGACCGCTGTACTCAGTCTTATTAAAGAAGCTGAAAAGGCACATTCGTCAACTGATGTTTGGTTGAGTAATGAAAAGAATGCATTCATACCCGAAATCGAAATCCTCCACTCCGAACTTGGAGTACTCGATCTCAACTTTACGATACGTCCTGGGGACCTCCTCAGGGAGCGTCTCGAACGTAGGCGTCTCCGGCTCTGACTGTACGCCGGATCGTCAGTACAAGACCCGCCACAAAGAGAACACTCTTACTTCCTGCCGGCGCATCTTCCCGCTCCTAAACCTCGCCTGGTCCTTCCGAGGGGCAACGACGACAACGTTCCGCCTGCCCTTCAGCTCTTTCGGCAACGGCGCATACGCGACGTTGTCGCTCATCTTCATCGTGCTGAGGACTTGTGGCGGGATCTTGGCCGGGGGCGGGAAGTGCGCCTTGGTCGTCATGAACTGTGGCGACCAAGCGGAGAGGAGCATGGAGTTGTAGTATGGGAGACCAATCGAGTTTAAGGGTCTGAGATCCAACAGTAAACGTCAAATGTGAGAGATAACAGTGACGAACACGGAGCATACGTCGAGTCGGTCCATACGATATCTGGTAAGGGCTCGGGAGTGTCCGCCCACTCCACCGGCTGGCCTTCGAACCCGTTGAACGGAATTTCCCCGTCATGCTCACCTGCGCTCATGAGGTGGATGACTCCATCCCCATCGCCGAATGCCATGTAAGACCCAGTGGGCGAAACAGCGGCACACGTGATGAAGCTGGGTGCATCCAACTATATACGTCGTCTCCTCAAAATATGCCAAGTGTATTATCAATTGTACTATTACCTGGTAGAACTCATTCGCCTTGTTCGGATTCGAGATGTCCACGATGTTGATAAGGCCTTGGTTGGACGTGATCACAATACTGGATGGACGCTTTGGATGTACGTTGATATACGCCGGACCATCCGAGAACGGGATCGGGGGGAGCGCGCGTAGCGTTCGCAGATCATATATTTTAACCAGCGGGTCGGGGAACGGCCGGCCCTGTCTAACGTACAACAAACAAGTATCAGAACACCAAGTCCCATTATTACATGCAATACAACGAATATATATCCACCTCTGGCCCCACCCCGCCGTATACACGAAGTTCCCGCTGACCTGCAGGCCCTGGATGTTGCCGCTGTGCGCCTTTACGGTGCTCTCCGCGCCGCCTTCATGCCGCTGCATCCCCGTGCGGGGGTCGTGCGTCCGGATGCAGCCGTCCATGGAGCCGGACAGAATGCATGTGTGCGAGAATTCGAGGTGGGAGATCATAGAGGGTGCTGGGACTTGGCGGACAGGGTCCCCCGTCAGGGCGTTGAGCAAGAGGAGTTCTGACGTCGTGGTAGATATAGCAATGACTTGCGAGGTGCTCGAAGTGTTAGAGAATGTCATGACAGTCGCAGAAGGCCTATTTCAAGGGAACAAATACATACCAGTGCGGACATATGTAGAGCTCAGCGAGTGCTTACCGGAAGTACCACTTATTGACTCCTCCCTTATTCCACGACCCCATGCCATCGCCAGTGACACCTACCGCTCGTACGTACTGATCTTCAGCTATGACTTTCTTCACTCCGAGGCCGCCGCCGACGGGGTACGTGACGCCGCGCACACCCCTCGGGGTGTAGTACGCGAGCACATTGCCGGAATGCAGGCCGGTCCAGAGGGTGTCCGAGACAGGATCGAACGCGAGAGCGGTTACGGGCTCGGGATAGAGATTCCATGGCTGGGTAAGGGGCGCTATGGGCCTGTAGGTGGACGCCATGGACGCAACATGCAAGGGAGACCGCCGCGTCTACGATCCTGTCTGTGCAACCAAGTTCAGGAATCACGTAAGCTACTGCTTCTTCGGACAGTTTGGGTCTCTCCGCTGCTCGAGCATCAATGCATGGTATTTCCAGCAGAATGCCGCCGATTAATTCCCACTAACCGAGCAGAACACTAGAGGGTCTTGGTTTTTTTGGGAAATTCGGATACACATAGCCAACGCGACAATGTTAACAATATGCAAGAGAAGAACACGAGAATAGCGAGCACAACAACTGCGAACCAAGTCAATAAATGGATCACAGTGGAATAATCTCCGCATCAAAGTCGAAACGCTCGAACATACTCTCCGGGAAATACCTCGCCCTGACCTGGCGTCCCCCAAAGTACCTCCCATCGAGTTCCCTGACCGTCTTCCAAGCCCCGACTGGCCCAGCAAACAACACAAAAATCCTGACCATATCCACAGGGTTCGGCGGCGGTGGGTTAACCAGGTGCACGATTACCCGTTCCACCGTCCCGTTCTTCGAACACTCATCTCCTGCGCCACATTGTCAGCACCACGCCACGTATATATCAAGCGGCCCAGACGCACCGATCTCATCCCGCAAGCCCTCGTCCTCAACATCCTCAGGACCAACCATATTCGTCAACACAATGACCCTGCTCGGCTCCCCAAACCGCTCGCGATCTTCCCTCGCTTTCGCATCCTCATTGTTATTCACAATCCTGCCCATCTTAGACCCCGCCGCTGGTCCCTTCCCCTTGCCTTTGCCAGCCTTTCCTTGGGAAACCTGCTCAACCGTAAGGGCATTGACGATGCCAGAGCCGTCAGCGCCGAGTCCTTGCCCTTCCTTATGGCCCCATTTAGCCATAAGACGCGCAGCGAACCCGTGAGGGTCCGGTCTATGTAAGCATCAGTATCATTCTCATGCTGTAAAAGATTAAATGTAGAGCGTACCGTTTAGGCGGACCATCGTCCACGATAACGGGCGAAGGAGATACCGACGCAGAAGGCTCCGGACTAGCACTTGACCCCGGGCCGGGGGCCAGCGCCTTGAGCTTAGCAGCGATGGCCGCAGCAGCCTCCTTACCCTTCCTAATCTTCTCATTCAGGTCTTCGGGTATGCTACCATGAGGCGGGGGTGGAGGAGGGACAGACGGGGGCGCGAAGGGGTTATACGCCAATGTCGGGCCAGAGGTCGGCTCAGGACTCGTCGACTGAGAGCGCGCTAACCTGCGCAGATACGCCTCCTCGCCTGTCTGAGCTACGGGAGCTGCGGGGGTAGGCGGCAAAGGACGCAACCCAGGAATCGAATCATCGTCATTCTGGTCCGTATCTTCGAACGGAGTCCGAAGCGGAGCAGGCGCAGGAATCGACGGCGGCGAAGGAACTCGCGCCGGCGTGACAATTGTTGCAGATACCGGTGCTGCTGCTGCCACCTGTGACAGCGCCAGCCGTCGCTGATACGCCTCATCGCCAGTTTGAGCAGACAGGGCCAGGCGCCGCTGGTAGGCCTCGTCACCCGTCAGGTCTTTCTCAATCACCACGGGTTCGGAAATTGTAGCGGTACCAAGACCCCGCGCTGGCTCGTCATCTTCGCGTGTCCAGCGATCGACGTCCTCGCCAAACCGACCTGAAACTATGTCAGCAGATGTGGTCAAGTGATAGTGATATCGCTCACCCGTCTTTCGAGGTCTCTCGTCCTCTGACCCGCTGCCTTCCATGTCACTGTAACTGCTGCTCCGTCTGTAGCGCTTCCGATCCTCCATACGACGCTGTTCCAGCATCCGTTCCCGTCTTTCCTCTCGCTCCCTCTGCTTATACATCTTGTACTCGTGATAGTCGTTGGGCCGCAAGGGGTCATACTGCTCCTCTGGATCCCAGACAGCCACCGGAGCAACGTGCTTGTTCTGCAACGAATCCTATAAAGATGCCCATGTAAAACATGTAATATGTAATCACCTTTTTACCCTTCCGTTTTCCTCCGCCTCCCGCACCCTTCCCTCGCTGAGCGCTTTTAAACCCATTGACGTCTTCATCCAGGATCATAGACGGCGGCTTGATCTTCTTGCCCCATCCCTGCGTGTGCTTCGGGTGTTCCGCTTCCGGGGTCGCGGACGTATCAATGAGCTGGGGTGGCGCCGATACGACGGCAGTGAACGATAGCGATGAAGTAGTCGCAGCAGAAGTGGGAGTGGAACCAGTAGCATCTAGTGCAGACGCAATCGTTGCAGCGATGGGCACGCTAGGCTTGGGCTTCTGTGCAGGCTTCCTGCGGATTGGTGCGAACGCAAGCGCTGCGGACCATCCTTCGGATTGCGATGCGAATATCCGTTTCAATAAACGAGCTCTAACACTGCAACGACGCAGAAGATAGGGAAAAGGGAATACCGGCTGTAGCTTTGCCCCCTGCGGGTGCGGGTGTGCCGGCTTCAGCGGCTACTTGAGCAGTGGGTGTGGCTTGTTCGGGTTGGTCGTGTGTCGAGGGTGCAGTCGATACTCCTTGTGCTTGCCTTTCTTCGGTTTCATTCGTGGCCGGTGTGATTTTCTGAGAAATGAAAGCGGACGAAGAAGAGAACTGTATCCCGCCGTAGAGCCCGCCCGCTTTGCTGGACATGGTGGTCGAGTGTAAGCTTTACTGGGTGTTGTGACGCGTGACATCTGATTCCCTGTAAGCGTTGGGATATGGCTTCGATTCGAATAAACTAAAACAATCATCTACCAATACACCTAAAGACTTGCAGCGATTTCTTCCCCAATGCCGGAGGTCGCTGACACGCAGATGCCAGATACCAAATTACTTGTAATTAGTTACCCAGCCCGCAAAGCTCGGAAGCTAATGCAACCCGTCGCGGCCCTTCTAGTACACACGCTTGAACGGCGGCACGGGCTTGCACTCGTTTTCGTCGAGAGTCTTGTCAATCACACCGCGGTACTTGATGTCCACCTCAGGCGAGTTGATATCGTGTTGCCAAGTGAGTGTATGCTTCATCCAGTGCTCGTCATCACGCTGGAGATTATGGTTCAGCTCAGCGCACTAGATGGATACTCCAAGGAGAGACCGACCTCAGGGAAGTCCTCACGAGCGTGCGCGCCACGCGACTCCTTGCGAGCGGCGGCGGCAGTGATGGTCTGCACCGCGTTGCTCAACAGGTTGCGAAGCTCAAGCGTCTCAACCAAGTCACTAACGCCAAATCATGAGCCTGTAGATCTGCGTTGAAAGGTTCACTGTGCCTCACGAGTTCCAGATCATGCTCCTATCCTTGATGCCGACCTTCTCGAAGTTCTTGTAGATAGAGCGGATCTTCTCTACACCCTCGTCCAGAGTCTCCTGCGTCCTGTAAGAGGTATGAGACAATCATCAATATATCAACTATCAGAATATCTATACCTGAAGACTGCAGCATCAGCCTGCATGGCCTTCTGCATGTCGAGACGGATCTTAGCCGTAGGCTCAGGGCCGTCCGCCTTCCTGATCTTATCCAAGAATTCCACGCTTTCCAGACCAGCCTCCTCAGGGATCGCCTTGTGGGGCTTTCCAGGCGTAAGGGTCTCCTTGATGTGGTGAGCGCAGGCACGGCCGAAGACGACGATATCCAGGAGGGAGTTGGCACCAAGACGGTTCGCACCGTGCACGGAGACACAGGCAGCCTCACCAGCGGCGTACAGACCGGGGACGACCTTGTCCTTACCGTCCTTGTCGACCGTGAGCACCTCACCGGTGTACTTAGTGGGGATACCACCCACTACCATATGTCGTGAGAAGAGAATGTACTCAGCGAAATATTGACTTACTGTTGTAGTGCACCGTGGGCAAGACGGGAATAGGCTCCTTCGTGACATCGACACCTGAGAAGATAGCCGCTGTCTCGGAGATACCGGGCAAGCGCTCGTGCAGGACCTCGGGGGGCAAGTGACTGAGTTGGAGGTAGATGTGGTCCTTCTCCGGGCCAACGCCACGACCCTCGCGGATTTCAATCGTCATACTCCGTGAGACGACATCCCGAGAAGCAAGATCCTTCGCGGTTGGAGCGTAACGCTCCATGAACCGCTCACCCTCGGAGTTCAAGAGGTATCCTCCCTCGCCACGAGATCCTGGTTATAGGGTGAACATCAAATTAGCTTCCAATTAGCGGTATTGCACAGACCTTCGGTGATAAGACATCCAGCGCCGTAGATACCGGTCGGGTGGAACTGGACAAACTCCAGGTCCTGGAGGGGCAGTCCCGCTCGTGTCACCATTGCATTTCCGTCTCCGGAACACGTATGCGCACTCGTACAACTGAAGTAAGCCCGCCCATACCCTCCAGTAGCCAAGACGGTCTTGTGGGCCCTGAATCGGTGAAGAGTACCGTCCTCCATATTCAGAGCGATCACGCCAACACATTCACCATCTTGCATGATCAGGTCGAGGGCGAAATACTCAATGAAGAACTGGGTGTTGTGTCGCAGTGACTGGCCGTAGAGAGTGTGTAAAAGAGCATGGCCCGTACGGTCTGCTGCCGCCGCGCACCGATATGCCTGACCACCCTTACCGTACTTCAGTGACTGACCACCGAAGGCACGCTGGTAGATTTTGCCCTCCTTGGTACGCGAGAAGGGGACACCGAAGTGCTCGAGCTGGGAGGCACCATTACTATCTTCGACAAGAGACATCTATGAGGACCAACCTCAATGACAGTGCGAGGAGCTTCGCGACACATGTAATGAATCGCATCTTGGTCACCAAGCCAGTCCGAGCCTTTGACCGTGTCGTACATGTGCCATCTCCAGTCGTCCTCGGTCATGTTCTGAGTAGTTCCCGTCAGAAAGAGACTTGTGCAATGTGGCCTTACGTACCCCTAAAGCAGCATTGATACCACCCTACAATATCGTCAGTATCCATCACGGACTGCAGGGCGAAGTGCGACCGACCTGAGCTGCGACAGTGTGACTCCGGGTAGGAAACAACTTCGTTATACACGCGGTGTTGAATCCAGCCTCTGCCAACCCAAACGCTGCCCGTAATCCAGCACCTCCAGCACCCCTATGTCGCCGAGGGTCAATCAATGCTGCATACCATGCCCTTGATTATTCCGTACTCACACGACAATAGCATCATACTCGTGTTCGATCAAAGGGTACTGTCCCGAAGACCATGACTACAAAAACGATCTCTTCAACAACGACTCTCCTCCGCTGGAACTGATGTACGAACCTTGACCTCCTCTGCCTTGACGGGGTTCGTTGCCACGATCTTCCGGGCAGGGGCTGAGCTGCTGAATGCCCTCTGCGAGCGAGGAAGGGCCCTGTGCAATGTCTTCCTTAGCATGGCGGCAGCAGCGACAACGACGACGACCACCGCACAGCGACGGAGGCGGTAAGAATGTTGAAATGTAAGCTGCAGAGAGCAGTGAGAACGCTTTCAGAGGCGGGGTCGCGACATCTCGGGACGGCTCCCAGCACGGGCCAATCACATGCGTCCCATTTTCCGGCCTTTCTGCCGGCTCACGGGACCTCGTTCAGCAGATACCGAGAATTGTCTCAGAAAGGTTGGAGGGAACTCTATGACACTCAGCGTACAAATATACTAGCCTTAGTCTACAGCAACAACAAAACAATGCAGATGGAGGTTGCCCTCGTGAGAAGTCTGCTATGAAAGTGCACCAAGAGGATCTTGCTGGACCTCACGGCGCTCTCCCTGCGTAGGAGATACAACCTGTGGTGGGTCCGGGACAGGCGGTCGAGACGGTGCGATATAGTTACTCGGTGACACCGTAGATACCCGAGGAGGAGGGCGAGGGAGCGTGGCAATGTGGGAAGCTGGCTCCGAGAAACTAGACTTGGTATAGTTCCAAGGGGCCATGGGCATCCCACTAGTGTTGGGCGCCAGGACCATAGGTGTCGCAGGGGAAGAACGTGAAGGTGGAGGTGATCGTACAACAGGCGGTGACGGGGATCTGGCAAAGCGAGCGGAAGGTGGAGAGCGAGACGGCGCCAGGCCATCGGCAGTACCCGAGTGGTATGGTCTTGGTCGAGACTCATTGGAAGGCGGGACGGGAGGAGCTACCGGCCGAGGGAGTGTAACAACAGGTAAAGGCTCCTGCGCCGTCCTCGCTGATGACTCTGGTGGCGGTTCCTCCTGCGCCTTGGCCTTCCGCCTCTTGAATTCCTCCTCCCCAACTAACCTCTCCTCTTCCACGAACGTGGCGCCACTTGTGAGAACATCCCGAACGTACGCCAAGCATTCTAGCGCCTCTCGTTTCCGTTCTTGGACGCTCTTGAGGTCGTCTTCAGCCCGGTTATCTTCGTCTTGAAGCAGAGTATCCACGATCCAGGCCACAGAAACCCCGAGCTTTTTTTGCGTGGAGCGTAATTGTGATATCTCCCTTTCCATCTCAAATCTAGTGCGGGGCTCCCATGGCGGTCGCTCCTCTGGCGGCCTCTCGTCAGTAAGAGGAAAGTCCGTGAACGACGTAGAAGACGCCGGTGGAGTCCGGACTAGCGAAGCCGCGAGCTCTGGCAGATTCCGCTAACGCAGCGTGTCAGATGTACGGCCGGTATAAGCAAGCCACCGCAGAAGGCATACCTTGATTTCCGTGACTGCATTCATTAATGTTTTATTGATACCAAGTGCCTCACCGCGGTCCAGCAGCCCCCTTGCAATCGACTCCAGGGCCACCTGTGACGACTGCTGCCTCGAATGCCCGGCTCTGGGAGCACTGGCATTCCCATCTGATCTATGAACAGGCATGTCAGACCCAGACCTGCCCCTCGGTCCTCGACGTTGAGGGCGTGCAGGCTCTGGTTCGGGCACCTCCGCAGGGATGTGTAGGAAGTTGCGGTTCTCCTGAACCATGGCGGCACCCGTGGCTGGGGTCGGGCACATTTGCAAGGCTAGTGCCTGCTGCAGGAGGATGGTCGTATGGTGCCGAGAAGACGAGGGATCGCTGGCTGATTGTGGAGGTAGTGGAGGATAGCGGAGGAGGCACATCAGTTGTTCGTTATCACTAGCAGGTATTACTGCACATATAATACCCGTCAACGAGGCAAGACAAATGACAGGACACGACTAGACTCACGTTTGTTGCGTATTCGGATGAGCATTGCAACGCAAACCCACTGGGCTAGATCCAATGTATGGTCAACCGCGAACAGTCCATCCCACAGGACCATAGCATCCGGCAAAGTAAACTCTCTTGTGAACAAGAGACGGAGCATCCGCCTTCATACAGTTATAATCAGCTCCCGCGGAGAAGCACGAGCGAAGCAATATACCTACATCCCATATATCGTCGGCTCGATACCCGACGAGTGCAGCGCCTTCCACAACTCTGGGTCGACGCTCTTGAGCAAGTTGAACTGGATATTATGACACGCCTGGACGATCGGTGTCACATACGGCTGGAGCGGCTGTATGTCCTTTGTGTTCAGATCGACATGGGCCGGGATTTTCGAGAATGAGGCCGCCGTGGTAAGGCTCTCCCTCCACTCATACCACCGCCCTGCACCCTCCATAACCGACACGAAAAGCCGCCAAGCGTCCGCCGCCTGCCAAGTCTTGTCACAGACGTCCGCCAACGCCTTATCAGTATCACCGCCGCTCGCGACGTTCACCGAATCGTAATCGACGGCATAATACAGGGGCGCGAGCAGCTCGTGCATGCCCTGTCTGTACCCAATGTCTGGGTGTGTTACCGAGTATATGAAGAGGATGTTTGTAAGCTGGTATTGCACCTCCACATCACGGAAATAGTCGAGGTCCGGGAAGCTGGGAGAAACTCATGCGTATCGGAATGCACGGGAGAGGGGAGAAACCTCACGTGCGCTCTACATCCTGCTGAATCGTCTTCCGAAGCTCCATCGATGCAAACCACTCCTTCCAGGGATTCTGGGGCGAGGTAAGGGGAGAACTCAGGATATTAGGGCGGAGTAGCGTACCTCCTGGTCCAAACTAAGTGGATTGTTCTTATCCAGGTCTCCGTTCACTCCAGATCGCTTGGGGGAGCCGGTCATGCCTGGAATAACCAGTTTCTCCTCGTAGCTCCCATCCGGTGCTCGGAGATGCTTCAGGAGCAGGTCACTGTATTGTCTGCGGTAGCCCCTCCAGCTCTCCAGGAACGACGTAATCGACAGGTCTATACGCGGCTTGAGTGGGTCTTCGGGTGTCAGAAAGACCTGCAGTGTTGGTCGCGTAACAGCTAAGCACGTCTACAGATTACGGAACATACCTTCCAAGCAATACTCCTCCCTGGGACTCTGGCACCCTCATCCTCTGACTGGCGCAGGAGTCGGCCGCCTAGCGCAGCATCCCTGAGCTTTGCGAGACTTAATGATGAGTGGAATATGTGATTGAAGACGTCTCTAAGATCCATTAGCAGTAGCCAGGTAGATCCCAGGAGATCGAACCAACTGCGTCTCCTTCAAGCGAGCCACCGTCTCACCAGCCATTGTCCTTGGTAGCACACGTTGGCTTGCACGGCTTCAGATTGGACGACAGAGTCAAACGAAGACGTCTAGGGTAGGAGACGCTGCACGACTTTCGCGTCCAAGTTAAAACCATGATGCGGTCAGAGTCCCCGCTGAGCTCTGAAAAGGTACCGCTACTCCGCCCGTGCCAGTGCAGACAGTCCTGATCCATACCTGGCCCACTAATTTATTCAAATGTGAGTGGACTTCCTCATCTGTACGGGACTCAGATCGCCTGAAGATACACTCCGATAACATTAGTCCGTGGTATATGTTACACTACACCGTCCACTGGTACAATATAGAATTCCTTCATTTACTGCTTTCCCCAGACAGCTTCCTTTCCAGCCTGTTTAGCAGCCTCGTCACCGGCGACATGTCCATACGCCAGCTTGGCTGCACCAGTGGCCATAGAGGCAGCACCGGTAACCGCACTCGTGGCAGTAGATGTCAGACCGCTGGTTGTACGACTAGCACCCGTGCCGGTCGACTTGGGCGGATTAATGGCATTTGCCCAGCCATCATCTACAGGAGCGATTATGGTCAGAACTGCATGTCCGGGGAAACGTGCGTCGAGTCATGGACGTACCGTCATTCGAGTGTTCGTTCAGGGGATCGATATTCGTCGTCTCGATGATACCTGGCCGTGATTCGATGACACCGGCAGTCTTGGAGAAGTTACGCTTGGCCTGGCGGTCACCGTCGAAATTGCTCGGTGCGCCTGCACCGACCTCTTCCGACGTCGGGTCAGTTACCTAGATATGGCTGTTGTTAGGTCACGTTCGTCAACGTCCGAGTTGTCGGTGCACTGACGAAGTTGGCAGCGAGAGGATCAGCATGTGTGCTGGAAGTAGTTGGGTTCGCCACACCGGGGTGGAGGTCGACACCCTTGTTACCACCGAGCGAGATATCCTTGTCGTTCAGGGACATGATGTTGTGTTGCGTATGCAAGTGTCGTTAGGATAGATAGATAGACAGTGGTTGACGTTTGAACTTGCAGGATAAGCCTGCAGATAATCCATTATATACACGAAACGAACTGCGAGTGACGTTGTGGGGTGTCAAGCGAAGTGTGGGGTACGTGGAGAGGAGGGCAAATACGCAGGAATAGTTGGCGCACTGGATGGAGGCATGATGCAAGAGATAACGCCTTCAGCCACAAGCGCTGAAATGGCTGTTCCCCGCCAACACTAGTGATGTCACATGTGGCTGTGGCCTCCTCCCACGCTTCCCACGGGTGCTTCTCTTACAGTTTGATAGCTACTAGGAATTCGATTGGCTGAGGCTCAGTAGAAGGTGTTGAGAAGCAACGCTCGACGAGTTAAGCAGTACAAAGGTGCTAAAAAGCAGAGCGAGTGTGGGCTGCGAAGACACAGTGATAACGGATCCATGTAACGATGACCCCGGCGACCACTAGCAGTTTGCTCCGTCGCCGGGAAGTGAAAGTACAAGGGAACGAGTGACTTGAAGGCTGGATCTATGTAGCGGAGAAATGAAACCCAAGAAACGAGTTGATCAGAGCTCAGTTCGAGTCTTCGAATTCAGTAGCCTCCTTGACCAAGTCCAGAATGCGCTCGTGCCTAGGCCTTATATCGCACTTGAAAGGCAGCGGTCGCCTAGTAGAGAGCAAGTAAGAATATGGCATACTCAGATAGCGCACATTACGCACACGATGATACCGTCCGTCGTCGCAGGGACCGGTATGACAGGTCTGCCGCTTTCGTCCAGTGCCAGATTCACTTCCAGCGCTGCTGCAGTCCTGGCGATGTTGATCCAGACGGAGTCGTCAGCAAGGTGGGAACCCGGACAGACTCGTCTACCGAAGCCGAAAACGAAATCCTTAAAAGACTACGGTCAGCAACTATTCGGAGAAGGTGCGAAATGCGCGCACACTTACCTTCGGATCACGTTCCGCTAGTGCACCCATAAACCTGTCGGGGTTGAATTCGAACGGATTATGGTAAACATCAGGGTCATGCAAGAATTTCCTTCAAGTAGATACGTGAGCATGCTCCTGGCATCAGATACTGACTCGAGGACAGACCAGACATTCGCTACAACCCACGATCCTTTCGGTATGAGGTAGCCGTCGTATACATCATCAGCCATGGCTCGGTGAGGGACGGCTGGGATTGCTTAGCGTGAGCTCAGGACTGAACAGCATATTGTTGCGTACCTAGAGGAACGATAGGCAACCAACGGAACAATTCTTTGCATACTGCCTCGACGTATGGCAACGCCTCTCGATCATCGTAATTTGGCAACCGCGCCCGACCGACGACAGAGTCGACTTCACACTGCACTTTCTTCTGCACTTCCGGAAACAAGCACATTGCCAGGAAGTAACTCTGGACGACGGACACAGTCTAGACGATGGCGGTCACGCAGTGCACTATATAATGGTGGTCCAAGATTAATTGATACTCACGGTATCTGCTCCAGCTAGAGGGGAGAGAGTGAGCTATGGTATACATCATGTGTAGAACTACTTACCACCATAAAACGAGAGCGCAGACCACTTTATATCTTGCATCCGCTCCTCTGAAATATGTGGATCCTTAAGCAGATCCGCCGTGTACGACGGGGAAGCCGTCCCCTTGGCCTGGTAATAAGTCAGCCTTAATAAAGTGAGACCGTAATTCATTCGTGCGCACCATTTGCTCTTCCACAAATTTCAGCGGTACTTCAGCCATATTCTCGCAGGATCGCCGATATTTCGCAGCTAGCCTCTGGAAGCCGGCACCGGGTATCCATGGAGGTACGTACTTCAGTAGAGGGAGTAGATCGACGAGGTATTTTCCCGCTGTTGTGCAGTCGCTGAACTCTTCCATAGTCTGCTGACTGCCATTACGACACATAACACGAGGACGCCAGGCAGAGCTACGAACCTTGTCAGCCATGTAAACGAAGGGATCTTGGCCGTCCTCCTGGATCTTGTACCCGTACGTTATGTAGAGTATCATAGCTCCCGCGGTCCTGCATTCCTATTAATAGGTTCCTGCTTTGGAAGAGTGGACTTACTTCCGCGTAGCCTAAGAGTCGAACAGTTTTCAGCACTTAAGTCAGGAACGCCTGGCGGAGGAACTTACTTCATCGACTCGGGAAGGATTACTCAAGACCCGCTTCAGAAACATTGCGGCTTGATATTCCTCGGCGGGGTAGAATTTCTTCATACTGCCGCGAGTGCCAATTACTCGTCCAATCAGCTACACCTCCCGTTAACTACCGAAATGACACAAGTAAGGAAGGACTACCTTGCGATATTCTCTGAACCTAGGCCCATAACGTGAGTTACTGAGCGCTCGGCCCCACCCAGACAGCTCAGACATTGGTAGCTCCGGTCGATCCGCGTAAGTATTTCCCCGCTTGTCGAGGATGTCGACCGCAATGTTTGGATCGTTTATGATCACCCAAGTCTGACCGAATAGCTTGATGCTCATGATGCCACCTGTCCGCAGCGTCAGTATAAGATCATATAGGTGGTGCACCTACCTACCCCACCGTTCTCCCCATTTCGCAAAGGTCTCCCAGGCGTGGGCTTTCGGCATATCGAATATATTTCCTGAAAAATATGGTATCTGAGCAGCGGGACAATGCGTCAATCTCTCCAACCGACCAACTAAAGGGTATCCATTTGGTCCCGGAGGGAGCCTCGATGAACGATGCCTGTCTTGAGCGATCCAGAGACAGATTAGACATAACAAGATAACCGAAAAATCAGTCGAACTCAAAGTGTATGTCGACATCCTGGCCGAGAATACGACAGAGTCAAGTGGAACTGACGTGTCCTCCGCTTGTGCGCCTGCTCATAAGGCAGCCTGAGTCGTGGGGGGGCCTTCCCAGAATGGTTTATGTTTCGGCTAGAAGCAGTAAACATTCACGTACATGGTGAAACGTGCCCTGTAAATATAAATTCCGTGAATCGAGGTGCAACCCGATACGGTCATTTTAGCCGACTAGAAGGCACGTCTGTAGACAGCTCCGGGAGAGAACAGCGTGAAAGGGACAGGTACGCACTGGGTGATTGATAAAAATAATCAGGTAAGTCAAAAACAACCGGTCTGCATCAATCACGTTTATACCCATGCATTGCCAAGCATGTGGCGTAGAACGCCATGGACCCACAAAGTCGTATGGTACGGGGTACTTGTACCGCAGCGACCTTTCGCTTCAGGCATCGGTCATCTCAAACGCACGGAAAAGAAACCCGGGAGAAATCAAGCATCACTAGGTATGGGTCCGCATCAATGCCAGTCATAGGCCCGAGCGTCATCTATTCATGATGAATATCGAAAGAGCTTCCGGCGTTTACATCCTCGAGTGAGTACAGCCTATCAATGAAGTTTGAGCGCGCTTCTATGTCCCGAACTTCAGAGTATAGCCGGATATTTCTCCATGTTTCGGGGCTACCAGTTTGCGAGGGCAGAGCAGACCTACAAATCGCCTTCGAAGGTTGCCTCCACATTCTACTAGTACCCAAAGAGAGATTTCGGGGAATACCGGAGATGAATGCATGACCGACGACGCCGAACCCTTCCTTCCAACATTATTCCGCAAAATCAGTCGTCTTATTTGCTGGTCATCAGAACTCACTAGCGCAGTGAGTTCATGTGTTCTTGTCTTAACTTCCCTGCGGTTCAGACGAAGGCGGTAGTACAGCGCATGCTCAGGGAGGTGCCTGGTTTCATTGCTACTAGAATGGAACCTATTCATCCACCGCGGACCGGTAGTTAGTTCATGGAAGTTTGGCAATAAATTAGCTGACGGCAGATAGGTGCGGGCTGAGGCATCCTTTGACGGAAATCTGATGGCTGGCATGAGGGCGTACGATTCTTGTTTCATGGCTCCTGCGGGAGTAGGATGAAACATATCAGACGACATGAACTGCTGCGTCAGGATTTCTTGAGGTTAGTGGTGGAAATATACCGAGCTGTCATGAAATACCACAAGAACCAACAGTTTCGTAAAATTTACATTGGTACATAAATCTCGGTCCAGTCGAGTTTACATTCCATCCCCAGGCTACCTTCGTCCCCCGCTGTTCCTTCGGGCCAAGATGGCGACCAACCTCGATAGCACGTACGCACTTTTCTCGGTATCCTTGCTCCTATTTTTCATCAAATCAAACTGGGCTATAGTCTGGGCGTGCTGTATATCTCCACTCTTGTCTCAGCGACGTATGTGTCATTTATTTGCGCGCGCAGTATTGGATAGTCGCTGACCCTGGTGATTTGGAATATCCAGCTTGTATGGAGGTAAGCAATCTACGACCAATATAACATCCGGGAGCCTCTGCTCAAGTGTGCGCAAATTGGCTGCCCAGTGGGGTGCACACAGATCTGGTTCTATTTCCGAAAGTATAGGATTAAAGATCCATGGTGGGTCCAGACCCTGGTGCGTCTCAAGTACTTGAGAGGCTACGGTATCTCAGTGTTTGCTCAGGTCGGACTCCTTTCTGTCTTCGACACTTGCCAGCAGGCAGTGCTCAGTGGTACTGCTTACACCCATATTGAGCAAACGCTGATCCGTCTGAAAAATTGTTTCCTGGCAGCATGCGGTATGTTGTTCGACAGAAACCCTATCAACGTCAGGCCTCTCCAGCTGACTTCCTCAACAGTTTACCGCTACCTAGTGACTTTCCACGACACTGCAGCAATCAGAGTCGTACTAGTGAAGTAGGTGAAACGTATCATGCGCGCGAGTATCCCTAAATCATTGCAGAACACTCATTATCGAGATATTTTTTTCGAACTTCATTGCGATTTTTGTCCAACAGTAGGTGGTACACCATGACTCGCGTCATTACTCTAACTTGGATTTCGGTCCAGATTCTACTGCTGGAGAATCTATAAACGTGAGTTGGGAATGCCACATGTTTTTACAGTGGAGCTCACCGCCCGGAACAGTAAGCAACAATATAGCTTTAGCCGGGTTTCTGGTGCGTGGTTACAAAAGAACGACAGTGGAAGGCTCCTGACGGCTCAGGTCCAGACTTGCGTGGCATGGGCTAGCCTCGCCGCTATCACTGGTACGTCTGTCAATTAGTTGAAGACTCGCGCCACAGTCCTTATTCGACGATATTCGCTGTCAGTGTATTGTGCAAAGTCGTAGGTGATTTCATGCACCACGGGAACAAAGCCTGATCCGAACACAGCCTTCATTTTGATACTTTTGCTCAGTTGGCCACCATCTCCGTGAGTCTTTAAATGTTTCCTCGACGGCGAAGTGTACGACATAGCGACGGGAGATAGAGCTTATCCAAGACGTGCAATATCTTAGCTGCCGCTGCAGACGCACTGATCTCTGCTGGGATGATATTGGTACTCAATATGTCGGTAAGCTAAAGCACATTGTAGCAATCGAACATCACTTATCAGATATCTTTCTGACATATCTCAGAAAACCGGGTTCAGGAGATCCACGGACATTATCAACCGGCTGGTCAGCATATTTGCGTTTCATTTTCATTTCTGGTTCGGTTGAGTTGATCAACATGTAGATGATCTTCACATTCAACACCGGACTACCTACTTCGTTCTGCGCTATCATGGCTTGTGTATGCGTGAGTTGAGCAGGCATTCTGGTCTAGTGAGAGGGTTGCAACCGTTAACATCTGTTTCAGATCAGCGCCTGGCCTGATACAGTGGGTACAACCCTATTTGTTGGATCCTGCGATTGATGACGGCCCATAGTTCTGGTATATGTTCTTCTTCCTGCAAAGTGAGAGGTTCAAATCTCCTCTTATATTGCGCCTGACCTAGGGAGCGTCTTCGAAGTGGGGCGTTTCTACACCAACAGCTTCATGGTTACTCTGAATTCGCGCGAATACATCCGCTCGATGACGGACCCCACGAATCGCCCCGAAAGTTACTCACTTCCTACCCGTACTCCGGGAGTCAATTCCATACCCAGCGTAGGTATCGGTTAGTCAACCCAGGGTCTTCCAGAGCGCGACTGATGGAAACTTACAGCAGCAACTAGCCATAAGGATCGATACAATGACCGAACACGATACCGACAGGCAATACCCGGAGGATGCGAAAGGTGCGAAGGCCCAGGTCGCTTAGCCGGGGATGATTCACCTTCGTTTGCCAACTGGAACGGTGCACCAAGTAACCCGCATATCCTTTTCGTCCCCACTTCCCACTATATGTGTACGCATCCTTCCGCCAGTACTGCGTAAAATCTTGTTGTTTCATTCTGAGGGTGATTCAATCCTTGTATTCTCGACTTCCATCAAGTAGGGAAAATAGTTGCGGAGGGACGAGCGCCTAATCTCGCTTCGCGATTATTTTTGGCCTTCAGTCAGTGACTGGTGACTGTCAGCAAGTGTCAGAACCGCAGAGTTCCTGCTCATTTTCCCCTGATACCACCATCGACCATGGCGACGATATGCAAGAAACCATTGCATAAAGAGTATGCTCGTCGCACTGTATGCAGAGACGACGCAAACGGATGGTGCTCCAGAGAATGGGGCTGCAAGTTCAGTCACGATCTCCTGGAGATGGGCAGACTTAAAGGCCTCCTTGGCGACATCGAGGTGTTGCGAGAGCCTCTGGAATACCTGACGTTAGAATACGTTGGTAGTTTTGAGGCTTTCGGACACCACGAGAGTTGGGGGGAAGGCTGGAGGATGACTGTCAGAGCACGGGAACTCCACGGACTCTTCAATGAAATCAGTCCACCTATCGTCATCGAAGCGGAGAACGTCAACGAAGTAATCAATAAGGTGGAGGATGAATTACTCTGGAATGGCTATTCAACAGGACGCGCGGAGCACATGGTAAGCGGTAGATTAACCACTGCATTCTGCGGTGTCTTACCAGTGGTCTAATCTCACACCAGGGACAAAAATCCAAGAACACGGTCTGCAACGCATTCCACGATAACGGTAGCTGTAACAAAGGCGACCGCTGCAGGGAAAGTCATACTTTAATCGATCTATCATGCATTCGTCGCATGGTAGGCAGTCCGGGCTGGTACGGCACAGAAACTTTTTTGGTTCTCCAATTTATAGTCGAAGATGGGAGTAGAGGGCCCTGGAAAGTCTCCTTACACTCGAGGCGAGCAAGAATGACGGACGGACGTCCTGAAGGGTACCTATACAGGTTCCCCGTGCCACTTGTGACTATGGGAGGAGATTTGCATGCATGTCTACGAAATCTGCAGCAGATGGAAAGTAAACCATCGCCGATCACTCCTCACGGTACCGACTCCGCAATTCCTTTGCCGCCGCAGGGACTACACAAGATACAAGTGGCCGCTCAGAATTCACCTCCCCACTTCCCCGTCTTGACAGCGACCGACATTACCGAGTACGGTAGTGCAGCCGAACCATGGAGAGCACCAAGCTCATCGAGAGCCACAGCTAACAGCGGACTAACGAGGAAGCCTCCTGTCGTCCAAACCCCATCGTCGGCCGCGTTTGTCCCGCAACGATCCCGGGTCATCAATAATGCACCTCCTGCAAGACCCACCCAGACAACGACTACAATTCCAACCCCAAGGTCTATCCCACCTGCCGCTACTTCGCCGACGCCTGACGGTTACAACAACCGAGCCAACGCTCCTGTTCACACTTCGACCCAGACCAGGTATTGTCTCTTTACCGGTGCCGTAGCGCATCCGACACATGGGGCCCATGCCATCTCCGCTGCCCGCCCTGCACGCACTGCTCCAGATGTTCCCAACACGACACGAGCAGAGGGCCTCCAGGGTAATGTGCGGCATGTAAGCAGCCCTAACTACCTCCATATGACTATATACCCATTCAACAATAACCCGCTGTCACCAGACGATTCAACCGGCAAATGTACGAACACAGGACGTCGTTATACCAAAAGTAGAAGAGACGGAGGCGGGATCGCGTTCGGGATGTTGGGCGGGAGCAGCTTCCTTCGTACGGTTTCTGTTTGCATGGATGTAGGTCGTACAGCATACACCATACTTTTGTCATCGTATGTCCATACCGAGATAGAATCCTTGTATCAAAAACAATGTCCAGTGGTCATAGGTACACCACATCCCAACGTGCACCACACGTCGTGGTCCAGGTATTCAAAACCACATCGAGACCGAGAAACTGACATCTTCTGCCCTCATCGCATGCCACCAACCGGGAGGGAAAAACAGTAAGTCGCCGGGCTCCAGAGTCACGGCTATAGCTTCAGGAACAACCTTCTCAAAGAAGAGCGGGAAATCCGCACGACTTTGAGCCTCTTCGCTAGAGAAGACGTCCACCCGAGAGGTGTTACTCAAGGACGGATCGGTATTGTTGGCAGCAGGGTTGTGCGTGCTACCCCAAGAGGACAGCGACTCGGGTGCGCTGGAGGGCGCGTAGGGATACATGGAAGGTGTTACATGGGGAGGTGCCAGCCATACTGTTTTCCGACCCACCACCTGGGCTGCAATTGAACAGGCGTCAGCTGTCATAGCGCATATAAAAATTGAAGTGGAGTATTACCGTAGAGGTTATAGTAGGGATCCTACAATACTCAGCGCTACACTGAACCTAACGTAATGAAAAGGCACCTACCGTGTGCGCAGGGGATATGGTCCCGTTAGGACCCAACCACGCATTCAAGATCAGACGTTCTTCATTGCCTGGAGGATGGTAATCCGGATAGTCTGCAGGGACGGGCATGTCCGCATATATATAGTCGGGGATCACTATGTCATCTCGCAGGCGCGGAAATTGTGCCAGTAGGTTATGTTGTGCAAGGTAGAGAACAGAATGGCGATCATCAACTGGAGAGGAAGCAAGGACATCCAGGAAATCGTCCCATCTTAAAATCGTCTGGGTCCAATCGCTAGCACGGTAGTCCTTGCCGACTTCGACGGGAATAACGCGACCAGGGCCTGCAACCTGGCGAAGGTAGGCCGGAGAACGCCAAGGGTGTTCGTTCAAAGCCGGCCATTCAGAGATGTAACCTTTAAGAACGAACGGCTGTCCGAAGTAGCTACGCTGAAACGCGACCATTGATGGTGGATTCTGTAGACAAGGCACCTCACGTGCGAAAGAGGGGATGTTAAGATTAGACGCAGGCGAGGGACCGAAGGAGAATGACGAGTCGAAGAATCTATCCGACGCTGCAGATAAGCACACTGACTGGATTTTCGCTATCACTGCATGCACGAGATCCGCCCTGCCCTCTCCAGCAGCTCCAGCGATGACTAGGGTTCTGTCAAGTCTGGAAATGGCGGAAAGTGCTAGGGCGCCGTCATCCGCTATGGCAGCCTGCATATCTGCGAGCGACCGGAATAGGCACGCATCGGTATAGAGCCGTCGCCAGCAGTAGGGATTTGAGTGCATGGGAGAGGAAGACATCCCCTCATAAGCCAGATCAATCAAGGTATCGAGTGTGGTCTTCGATTCTGGCTGGGAAGCACATTCATACGCGCTACGTTTGAGCCTCTGTAAAATTTTGACGCCGCATGATGAAAGTGCTAACGAGGACGGGGTATATCATCGCGCACGCCGGCTGGTGACGAGGACGCACCTTGAGTGTTTGGGTCATTGTCGTCCTCCAGAGCAACAAGCAGCTCGTCGCTCAGCGCCGTCGCCCACGACATGCACGCACAAATGGTGGTCGATAATCAAGAGACGATAAATTTGCACGCGCCTGCGCAGATGCTGTGACGGAAGAACTGATGATTGGCAATGACGGTTGAGCCATAATAGGCAAGTGCGAGAAGCACTTTGTGGCTAAATAAGGCAACGAGGTGGTCACGGGTGATGTCGTGGGTTTTTTCCGTCACGCGAGCGAAACTGATAAAAGGTGAGGGCCACATCGCCAGGGCGTGCGAAAACCCCTCACGATCATTCCTCATTCTTCGGCTTGTCCGGTAAGGCGTTGCACGTGGTCTTTTTCCTTTTACGGGTATGACTTCGAGGTGGGTGGCGGAAGATCTTCCAGGTTACCTCTGTTAATTAGCGGGTTGCAGGTTGGACCGGCTCCTCCTTCTACTAGATACGGGCTCTTCCACCTCCGTGAGGTCGACAGCCGCGAAGCAGCTCGCTCAGCTAGCAGCCAAGTCCGTGATAACTGATGTTGCCATCGAGGAGGATGTCAAGGCAGCCCGGGCAAACGTGCCTCGAGTGGATCCAACGGGGTGGTCTGAATTGATGGCTGTAGTAGCTCGAGTACGCCATACCTACTTCCTGTAACTTACGGTCTCATATTTACAGTAATTCTTTCACAGATATTACCTTATTTGCATTCCAAATCGCATGATACTCGAACGGCAGCTTCGGTCGCTCTTTCACATATTTTCTCGCTGGTTCCGCTATGGCAACCTTCACCACCAGATCAAGACGGCAAAGACGGCGCCGCACCTGCGCAGGATGGGGAGACGGTTCTCAAACCACCGGACTTTCCCCTCTTTTCGGTGCAGGAATTAATGCAAAGAGGCACTCTACTCTTAGCCTCTTCGGGAAAAGAGTTCACGAAGCCTACTGGTATCCTTGCTAACACCGCAGAGGTAAAGAAAGCTCGCAAGGAAGCTATGAGTAGGCTGGGTCTCGACTTCTTAGATAGCGTAGGCGGCGGCGAAGACATGGACCTGGATAAGGAGCTCGCTGCCGAGGAATCAGAGATGGAGGTTGATGGCGGCGGCGGCGGCGGCATTAAAGACGAGGATGAAGGACCAAAGTGCGCGCTGCCTCCACCAGTCGTCGAGACTCCGGACGTGAAGATGAAAGAGGAAGCGACTCCGTCTTCGCGACCGGGATCTGCTACGCCAGGACCTTCGACCCAAGCTTCTATGTCTGCAGCCGAAGAGGACCTAAGTGGTCTGTCTGCTAGGGAGCGTAACCGCTTGAAGAGGAAACGAAAGCCTGGAAACGCTGCCTTCGTCGCTGCTCCTCCTCCTCCGACTCAGGGCTCAGGATCGAAGTACAATGCCACGCCTGCTGGCGGTCAGTCAAATAAGTTCGTCGTTCTTACATTTGGTGGGCATGACACCTGCTCATACTCCTTTTTACGTCACGCAGAGCTCGTCTCGTTGCCGCCGAGGAGAACAATGCTCGCTCTACGTCAGGTGTCACAAGTCCGCGCTCCCCATCGGACGAGGCGGCAGACAAAGTTGTCATCGACCCGACAAAGGGTGGTGCTGTGATGCCCAAGGCAACTCAGCAGTCGAATGCGCTAGACGTACAGCCTGGGTGCTGGATTTGGGACGGTGTAGTCAAAGTGTTGGAAATCGACTTATTCAGTCCTCAATGGGAGGTCCGGCATGGGGCTGCGCTTGCGCTGCGGGAATTGCTGAAGATCCAAGGGAAGTACGGCGGGATGAAAGGTAGGCTTACGGTCGCTCACATGGCACCTGCCACTGAGAAAGGTGCTCTAAGATGGTTTATCAACTGCCGAGAATGACGTCGCCCATGAAGCATGGTGTAATGACCTTGCTGCAAAGCTCCTTTGCATATTCGTACTTGACCGTTTCGGCGACTTCGTATCGGACCAGGTGAGTCGCTCCCCTCCTCGGCGAAGCCCTGGAATCGACCGATTTGAAAGGTCGTTGCACCTGTCCGCGAGACAGTCTCGCAAACTCTGGCGTCGCTCCTTCTCCACATGCCCCGTCGATCGGTTCTGCACGTCCATTCCATTCTCTTGCAGATGATACGGCAGAATTTTGGCGCGGACGAAAGCAAAGCGAACGATCCTCACACACTGGTTTGGGAAGTGCGCCACGCTGGGCTGCTCGGTATCAAGTATGAGGTGGCGGTGAGGAGTGACCTAGTGGAGGCGGCTTCGACGGAAGAAGACATTAAAGCGGAGGATGGACTTGCCGCGTCGGATTTGTCGGGGAAGGAGGTGTTGCGTGGCATAGTCGACGCGGCCGTCCTTGGGTGAGTGAGTTCTGTACCTGGATCGGCAAGCGTGGCTGAAGCTGTCCCAGCCTAGGTGACCGTGATGACGATGTACGCTCCGTTGCAGCATCCTGTTTATCACCCGTTGCTTCCCACCTGGTGCAACGTTTGCCGGAAGCGCTGTGCCAAGTTCTCTCAGTCCTATGGAACTGCTTGAGGGACATGAAGGATGACCTGAGCTCAAGTGTAGGCGCGGTTATGGACTTGCTTGGTACGCGCACTGTTGTCTTTCTTTCAGATCTGGGCTAAATAACTTTCAGGAAAGCTCGTCACCTACGACGAAGTCATCCGTATTCTTGCCAATGAGGAACTGTCGTGTGTAATTTGTTATCCTTCTTTGTGTTCGTATCCCAACCCAAATCCACTAGGTATTCACTCAGCGTCCTCGCTCCTACGCTCTTCCCTTTCTTTCGACACACCATCTCAAACGTCCGGCTCGCGGTAGTCGAAACGCTGCAGTCGTTTATGACCGTCCCGTCCCTGCCAAAGGACTGGGTCTCAGCTCCATTCCTGTGCCTCCTGTTCCAAAATCTTATAGTCGAGGAGCGCCCGGATATCCGAAGCGCCACTCTGATTGCATGGCGGACGGCCGTCTCCATCCTTGTGCATGCACCCGGTCGAATGGAAAATGCTGTGACGTCGCAGTTGCTTCTCGATTGGCATGGCTACCTTATGACGCCTGTCGGTACTCCAATAGAGGCATCGCGGTTCTATCATCCCACCTCCCTAGGGGACGACCTTGGGGTGGAACGACACAACGTCGACAAGAGTATGCTGGCGCAGGACATGTCACTCGTCACCTTCGATGTAGTGATCAAAGCTCGCATAGCTGCTTGTAAGGCCCTGGCCTGCTTGATGGTATCCTGGCCCAGCGAGGTGAGTCACGTGTTCAGCACTGCGTCTGATAAGTTTGATCTTAATCTGACATTCGGGACTCCAGCAAATGGAAGAGACTTTCAGACCATTCATCTGCCACTACGCAGGCTCTTCTAGCATGTACCAGAAGTTCTTCGCCGCCGTCATCGCTGAAGAGTGGGCTCGTGAATGCGACAAAGGGTCTGATCCATCGTCCATGCTCATCGAACGTTCCGCGTTGGCCCGGGAGCTCAGCAATGCGATGCTGTCGTGGTTACAGAACGAGCCGCCTGAGGCCTACCACGAGATGATCTTAACGCTTGCACGCATTCATCAAGAATGTTATCAGCTGCTACAATCTTTCGTACATGACTACAAAGTTTCACCTGACGCTATTCCGGTCTTGGGCATGGAAGTAGACGTGACAGGGACCAAGGAAGGACACTTCAGTATTCATACCGCTCGAGATGCCGTTGGTCCAATGTTCACAAAGCTGAAGGATGGCCTCGGTCGGACGAAGAAGAAGAAGGACTTGTCGGCCGTAAACGAGAAGCGAAATAAGGTCCTAGCCAGCATTGAACGCTACGCGGAGATGAAAGCACAGTATGACAACCGTGTTTCTGCTGCGTTCGCCGCCGCATTCGTAGCATTCAAGGGTACACCTGAGAAGGTCAGCCCAGTCGTCAAGGGTATCATGAACGGTATCAAGGTATGTAACCATTGTGCTCGACGTATCTCAAGCAGCTCATAGTGCCTAGAATGAAGAAAATGAAGATCTACAACGCCGCTGCGCAGTTGCCGTAGCTTCGTTTATTGAGTTCTGTGCTCATCATAATCTTACTCAACCACCCGATAAGATCGTCAAAAACCTTTGTACTTTCTTATGTCAGGATACGGAACATACACCAACCTTTGCTTACCATCGCAAGGTCATGGACGGTATCCTGTCTTTCCACGGTGCATCCCGTGGTGGCCACGCAAATGGGAAGGATGCCGCAAGAAAGGAAGAATCCGTTGCACCTGATGAAGCCTTCAAGTCGAGGTTATCAAGACGCGGGGCATCGTTGGCTTTCGTGGAGCTCTCAAATAGCTTTGGTGTCAGGTTACTTGAGGTTATCCCAGGGATGTGGCATTGCATGGCCGGCGGTTTGCTCAGCGCCTGTTCGACTGGTAAGTAACTTACTACCGAGCATATTTCCGTGGACTCAACTTTCACTAAAGAGTCAACGGCTCAAGCAGACGGCTCGATTGAGAAGCAGTTTGGACAAGATGTCATTGACTCTTTGAGCGTCATCGAGACCGTAGTCCCGAGCTTGCACGAGGAGTTATGGCAAAGAATCATCGACATCTTCCCGAACATAATTATGGCCCTCAGGAGCAAATTCGCTATCATCCGTCAATCTGCCGCTCGCTGTTTCGCTACCATCTGCGATGTCATGCCAATGCAAGGCATGAAGTACGTTATAGAGAACGTGATACCTCTCCTCGGGGATGATGTTGTCCCCTCGAACCGGCAGGGTGCAACAGAACTGATGTACCGTGAGTTCCATAGCACTTCTGTCTTATACTCCTCCGCTGAAGCCGACTCAGACATCGTTCAGAAGTTGGATATAAAAGCTCTACCATACGTCTTGTTCATGATTGTACCCGTTCTGGGCAGAATGAGCGATCCGGACGACGAGGTTCGAGCGACTGCTACCAATACCTTCGCATCGCTTGTTAAGATGGTCCCATTAGAGGTGCGTTCGTCATTATCACGTGCTTTACGCAGCATTCATTTCGGTATTATCTGCCAGGCTGGCCTTCCGGACCCTCCAGGATTCTCCGAAGAGCTGCTCAAGCGCCGAGAACAGGAGAGACAATTCCTTACCCAACTACTGGACGGCAGCAAAGTTGAGCAATACGTACTTCCCGTTCCAATCAAAGCGGAATTGCGCAAATATCAGCAAGAGGGCGTCAACTGGCTGGCATTCCTCGCAAAATATCAGCTACACGGTATCCTTTGTGACGGTGAGTCGTCTCTGCCGCGTATGGGGGCCGACTTACACGTTACCGTGAAGATATGGGATTGGGCAAGACGCTGCAATCAATATGCATCCTAGCCAGCAAACATCAGGAGCGCGCAGAGAGGTATAAAGAAACCCATTCACCGGACTCCGTTCATCTACCCTCGCTCATTATCTGCCCCCCGACCCTGACGGGACACTGGTACTATGAGATCCTCAAGTACACGGATACTCTGAAGCCAATGTTGTACACGGGCAACGCGCGCGAGCGTACTAAGTTGCTGAAGAGGTTCTCTCAACACGACGTCGTTATCACTTCCTATGAGGTAATACGTAACGACATCCAAAGCTTGCAGGACTTGCATTGGCATTACTGCATACTAGACGAAGGGCATATCATAAAGAACGCCAAGACGAAACTGACTCAGGCCGTTAAACGGATAAAAGCACACCACCGCTTGATCCTTTCCGGCACACCGATCCAGAACAACGTGCTTGAGTTATGGAGTCTGTTTGACTTCCTTATGCCGGGTTTCTTAGGATCGGAGTCTTGGTTCAATGAAAAGTTCAGCAAGCCTATTCTGTCGAACCGCGATGGAAAGGCGAAGACGGGCGAAGCAGGTACATACGATTCATATATGTCTCGTGTTTACGCAACTGAATTATCTTCAGCTGCGTTGGCTCTCGAAGCGCTACATAAGCAAGTCCTGCCCTTCCTCCTGCGACGACTTAAGGAAGACGTGTTGCACGACCTCCCGCCCAAGATCATCCAAGACTACTATTGCGAATTGTCAGACTTGCAAAAGTACCTATATGATGATTTCTCCAAGTCCCAGGCGGGTATAAGTGCTGAGGACGTGGTGAAATCAGTGCAACCCGCGAAGGGTAAAGAACAGCACGTCTTCCAATCGTTGCAGTACTTGCGAAAGTTGTGCAACCATCCAGCTTTGGTTCTCAAAGACCCTGAGGCCATAAAGGAGGCCATGACGAGAGCATCGCTAAAGGGCGACCATGGCACTTTAAGCGAAATCCACAATGCTCCGAAGTTGCTTGCATTGAGGTGACGTACAAGTTTCCCAGCGCATGAGCCCCGCAGGTCTGACTGTTGACCTAGGCAACTACTAAATGATTGTGGTATCGGCTGCGCCCCCGGATCGGTAACCGAAGGGTCGAAGAGTGAGCTCGCAGAGACGGTCCCAACCTCGACCGGTGCATTCTCGCAGCATCGTGCTCTGATTTTCTGCCAGATGAAGCAAATGATCGACATTATCGAGCACGATTTGTTCAAACAGTACATGCCTTCGGTTACATACATGAGGCTCGACGGGAACACGGACGCCAGCAAGCGCCACGCCATAGTGCAGACTTTCAACTCAGATCCTAGCATCGACTGTCTTTTGCTTACCACACATGTCGGTGGCCTTGGGTTAACGCTTACTGGCGCTGACACTGTGATCTTCGTGGAGCATGACTGGAACCCGATGAAAGATCTGCAGGCAATGGACCGCGCGCATCGCATTGGTCAGAAAAAGGTCGTCAATGTGTATCGTCTCATTACCAAGGGTACCCTGGAAGAGAAGATTATGGGGTAAGTGCCTGATACAGTCGCTTGATCTAGTATTTACGCATATTCGTACAGGCTACAGCGCTTCAAACTGAACATCGCCAACTCTGTGGTGACACAACAGAACTCTGGCCTCGCTTCTATGGACACGGACTTGGTCCTTGACCTTTTTAGACGGACATCGGAAGAGGAAGACGCCGCCGCCGCTGTGAAACGCAAAGACAAGGACGTTTCTTCCAGCGCCGGAGCGGCGCCGCATAAGAACGTCCTGCAAGGCCTGGAGGATCTACCCCCGGAGGAGGAGTACGAAGCTCTCAGCCTGAACAGCTTCATGAGTTCGCTAGGGAACGAAAATTAGAGGTGGGCAATAGATGTTATATGTATTAATGTCTAATCGTTGCGTCGCACTGTTTTCGAGCACCATGAACTGATCTAGAATGCATGTACTTGATTTAAATTGTTGTAGCGTGTAAATTCGTACTAATAGTATTACATAGCGTTTATCAATTCAAGGAACGATCCTAATCCTTTTCTTTGGGTCTGATGTGGAGAGAACTGCCGGTAATTGTCTCACTGACACAATTACTGGTCAGGATATCAATCAGTTCCCGTACCGCGGCAGTTTGTTACTGTAAACGAAGGTGGGAGGTAACGTCCACCGAAGTGTGCTCGCTGTTTATGAGTTCCACGAATTTGCACGCTCTGTTCCGTGCAATATTCCCGATGGAAGTCAGGTAAGGTAGCACTAGTGAGCGCCTGCCCAAGTTCTAGATAGAAAGCTTGAACCCAATATCGATACCCGGCTTCAGCGCCATTGTGTCTGATACACAATCTATTCTACAATACAAGTTCCACGAGAAGGTGACGGATAGGTTACAACGGGTATTTCCCGTCTCCATCCACAAACGGTCGCTGTGCAAGTGCTCGTAAAGAGCGGCCAGTCAGGTAAGTCAGCTATTGACCGCTTCGCTCTTTGACAATCTCCCGCAGATCGCGCACCGACATATGAGACAGTAGCTCCAGTTGGGAAATACTGACGCCTAGTCGCGCTTTTAGGTCGGCGGACATCCGTGCCGCCATTAAAGAATCCAGTCCATAGGATGTGAGGGGCACGGAGTCGGATATGTCGCTGGCGGGCACTCCAAGGATATGAGTGACAGTACTTTCGGTAGGATCCCCGTCCTCCGACTGCTCTAAGGATTCAGGGGCCTTCCACGTTGGCAAATGGCCGAACAGTGGCTGCGACTCTATGTCGGCAGCCACATCTTGCCAAGACAACTGAGGGATGTAAAGCGACACTTTGTCTTTCGATACACTCTTGATGCTGGCTTCCACTGACTTGCACAAGGCTAATATACGGTCTGAGATATCGCCGGCATTTGCTTAGAACAGAATGCAACCTACCTCTCATAGTTATCCCCCAGTTTAAAAAGTGGTTTGACTTCTTGATACCCTGGGCTTCGTTCCTGACGACCCACCCAGCATCTCGAATACCTGGAACGGATATCGAGAGGGCATTCGGGTATTTGTAAGTCATGCCTTCCAAAGCCGTTGAAGCACTATTAAGGGCATGAATGCTGATTAGGGGTGTACGAAGTGCAACGTCGTTCTCACCATGTGTAGTTGGTCTGACCGGGACTCCCGAATAACGCTGCCACCGAGGAAAATGATAGGAAGAAGTCCAGAGATGACATGTCAATGAGCGATGATATTGTCTCGAACGCGCTAATCTTGGGGCTGGCAGCTGCCTCGAATGATTCAGCGGTCTGGTTCACGAACAGCTTGTCCGACAAGACGAGCGTAAGAAGGAAACAGCCACCGATACGCCCGTGAACACCGTCAATGAGCTGGCGCATCTGCTCCTTGTCGGTTGCGTCGACTGAGGCCAGACGCACGTCCATGCCGGGGATGGATCGTAGGAAATCCACTATCCGCCTGTTCTTCATATTTCCCGGTTGCTTTAAGCGCTCTTCTCCGGAACGAGAGGTGAGCACTATATGTCTAGCGCCCCGCTGATAATGCGAATCAGAGAAGCTAGCGCTTGATCACAGGGGTCTTTCATACCTGAGACATCCAGAAGGCAAGATGTATCCCTATCCCTCCGATCCCGCCCAGAAGAAGATACGTCTTTTCACCCGAAAATAAGGAAGAAGACGGTAAGGTCAATTCCGCTAAATTTGGGCCTTGTTCCGCCGGGGTCGATAGCTGAGGCCATAATCCTATACCAATGAATTGATCTAGACAAGCCAGAGCTGACCCGATAACCCAGGGTTCGTCTTGGATAATTTGGCTCAATCCATCCCATGAGTACAACTTCCCACCCTTTGACATGAACCGCGAAAGTCTGAGAGAGAGGTAGGAGTCGGAAGAATCAAGTATAGCGCAATCGAAGCGGGGAGACTGTCGGGCAGTAGAGACTGGTAAGACATCCCAGACGTGGTCGCTGTCCAGGTTAAATCGGTGTTTGAGAGAGTCTCTGCCATCTTCTCGACACAAGACATAGACATCGATGCCCAAGCTCTGCAGACATTCCACGATGCCGGCGCCGACGCTCGTTCCGTCAGTTTTCACTAGGACACGACGCAGAAGCTCCAGTCTTCCCGGCTGAGCGATGGCTGAGGATCCGAAAGCAAGAATGCAGATTAGATGCGGGAGGAGATCCGCAGATGCGATGGCTGATCCGAGTTCCGCACCGTAGGCGCACCCGACGTGGACCTTCAGGGGGGTGACCGGAGGGTCACAGCTCACAGCGATCACGTAGTGACCAGCCTCATACGACCGAACCGGAGAGCTAATGACGCGGCCGAGATAAGTGTATATATTTGTTTTCTCTGAGTTCCAATAGCGAACGATATCGAGGGTAATGGTCTGCTCCTGCGGCCAGGGCCACGGTGACGGTTTGATCTTCGATGGGGCCTCTAAAGGACACTCTTCGACAGGAACAATCCGCGGGACGTAAAGTGATCCGTCCAGCAACAATTCGACCTCCGGTTCGACATATGCCCTGATCTGCAGGCGGTCGATCCAGAGTTGGCGATCCCCACACTCTACGCGCTCGTCCATTATCACGAGATGAATATCCCATAGTGGGAACTCTCCCCGAAGTGACCGTGTTAATCCAAGAGCAGACGCTGCATCCATACCTTGCGTAGCTATGAACCAAAGAGAGTGAGTTTCGGCCGGATCCAGGCGCGCTATCGTTTCCTGCAACAATAACTCCTGACGGAAGTTGACCGTCAAAGTAACTGGTTTATGGACGGAGGGTTGTAGGCCGCGGCCATCGCCGTTCTGACCAGATGTACCATTCGCATCGACATGATGAAGGTGGGGTGGAGAAGATGACAAGACATCCAGCATTGCTTGTGGCTCCTTCTGAGCGACAAAGGTGAGCGACAGATCTTCTTCGGCAGGCACGTTGCGCAGATGAACACATCGCATACCACTCTCACCCAGCCATTGCCTCCAAACTTCCGCGGGCACGGTGCAATGCCTACGGTCGTCTGCATAGTTGAACCACTCCGCGAACGAGCCGAAGAGGAAATCATACCAAAGAGTTCCCGGGGAGTGCTGCAGCCAGTGGCGACCATCGAAGTCCGTTATAATCAAAAGACCACCAGGAACCAGCAGATTGTTAATGGTTTTCAAGGCCGCGCGAAGGTCGGGTGCGGCGTGTAGAACATGTAAACCAAGGATAACGTCGAATGACTCGAGAAGAATGCCTTGCTCCCTCGGGTCGCGTGTGATATCAAGTTGGGCGGTCCGGACATGCGGATACTTGGCTCGACCAGCAGCTTGCGCGGCCAGGCCAAGGGAGATATCAGATGCCCAATACTCCGTCAATATCCCAGATGTTTCTTGTGCGACTTTGCACGCTCCTTCAGTGAGCATCCCTGTCCCACACCCGACTTCGAGTACTCTAACAACCTTTTTGCCTTCCTTCCTGAGCGTCTCTAACGCAGTGCGGAAGAGGGCAGCGTTGTCGGAGCATGCACCGTTCACTGTATTTTCCGGCCCATAGAAAGCGGCCATGGTCTGCGCATCACTGTAAAGTGCCTCCACTGTTACCTAAGTCCCAAAATTCATCAGCGTACGGAATTAGGTCAGGACCGACGAAGAGAACAGACCTTGTGCGATTCGAAGATCAGAGGGTGGATTTTGGCAACTTTGTCCGTTATAAGGAAATAGTTTGGATAAGATGCACGCAATTCGTTTAAGACAGCTTCATCAACTTTTGTAGACGTTGTCTGGCGTTGTAAGGCTTCCATTGCAAACTTCATGTACCGTTCTCTGTGAATCTGGTGGCCATATTCAGTGACTTTATAGCACAGGTTGGTCTGCAGTACAGACCTCTGGGCCTACACGATGAGGGTCCTCTAGTGACTTGCGTATGATCGTGACAGCGAGATCATCGAGGCACTCATAGAGGCGCCTACTGTCCTTTATCGCCGGTCTGTCGTACACTGGGAACCCTGCTATCGGGGATACTGCGACCGGCTGCCAGACTACGGTGTACCCTTGTTCTTTATCGTCAATCGCAGTGGAATGTCTAGCCATGGTGAATCCTGTGATAGAGCAGATGTGACGTCCCGTAGGACTTGCGATTACCATGTCTACGACAACGGCATCTAAGAGGAGCTGTCAATATTACATCGCAGAAAGACAGAGCGATCGGCATACCTGGCGACCAGCTAGAGAGCACAAGATGTACAAAGATATTATCCTTGAGGGAAGTGGGCGACAAATCTTGCACGCCGACATAAGCGGCCTTGGAGGGGAGCCAGAATGCCTCTGTGGCATACTCGCATACCCCGTCCTCGGGGTCGATGATAAAGCACATACATGAGTGGAAGATAGAATCCAATAGCACGGGATGGAATTTGTAGTCCGCAAGGCTAGTATACTGCATGTCAGCGGAAATGCTTTAAAAATATAGGGCTGTCTATACGTGCACTCACTCGTCAAACTCCGATCCTCCTCTAACCTCCACTAAGGCCTGGCCAGGGCCTGTGTAGCAGGACAAGATGCGACGATATTCAGGCGAGAAGCTGGCATACTGTTTGAAACCTTGCTCGTAAATAGCCTGTACATCGAACGGGAGATTACAATCTCTCCGAATGGCTTCGAGATCCAGCGTGGGTCGACATTCGCTTGCATCCTCATGCGATAATAGCCCCTGTACATGAAGTACGTCGTAGCTGGGGGAATTCTGCGTATGAGGTTAGGATGAGGCAAGTCTTGCCCAGCGCCATCGGCTACTGACGCACCTTCCAGACCCACGGAGCGGTGAAGTTGCGGGCTGTTAACGACGATGACGTCTTCACCCACCATTGCCCTCCATCTGTATCGACTTCAACCGAGAGAGGCGTCGTCGAGTTCAGAGGTAGAGCGGAAAGGAATTCCACGTCGTATAGAGCGGTGGCACCAAATTCAAGCCCCTGGACGACATACTGGTCGTCTACAGTTACGGTATAAACACTGATGGCTTACCATTTCGATGAAGCCAGCGGCTGGCATTATTGGAACATTATTAATGACATGTTGGGCGAGTAGAGGATGTGTCTCGGAGTTGAGGAAGATTCTGGGACAGTTGAGAGGCCCATTAGGGCTAAGGAAGCGTTTGTGGAAGGAGGGATGTTCAGAATGATATGGCACCTCCTTCTTTTGGAACGGATAGACTGGATACTCCACGTCGTAAGGATTCGGGTAGTCATTGAGGGCGTCCAAGTCGACCATGACGCCCCTGGTAGTGAGGCAGCCTAAGCAGCCGAGGAATTCCCGAGCCTCTAAACTCGGAGAGCCTTTACGACTTCGACGGAGAGCGCAAGTGATGGCCGAGGGGGGGAAACCCATTGACATGATGTAGGATGCCAGCACTGGATGAGGAGAGATCTCTACGAAGCTTGGGTCGACGCCTTGTATCGAGATGCGGCGCAGGACTTCCTCGAACAACACAGGACATCTAGCGTTGTTCCAGAAGTACTCGGGAGTGAACGGCTCGTCCATAACATCACCAGTCACCGTGGAATACGTCGGTACTATGGGACGCCCGGAAGCTGGGTACGCGGAGAAGACCTCTGTGAGCGAATTCAAACAGTGCTCCTTGACTGCATCCATGAGAGGCGAGTGGACAGGAACCGGTATATTGAGCTTGCGACCGAGGATACCTTGCTCCACCGCTTTACTCAACACCATATCGATAAGAGGCCTTAGACCCGACACCGTAACGGCGTCCTGCGAGTTGTGGCAGGCTACCACAAGCTCAGGGGCGCCGCTCTGGAGTCCTGAAAGCGCAAGAACTTCTTCGATGATCGGCTGAGCTATGTGAACACTGCACGACAGAGCCAACATAGTCCCTCCGATGCGCTCCGCACTTTCCATCATCTTCGCTCGGGCAATGGCCACCTTGAGCGCAAGGTCTTTCGGACCTGCACCTGAGGCGTAGATGAGTGCGGTCTCTCCCGCACTATGACCGAGAACAACATCCGGCTTGACACCAAAACTTCTCAGGAGGTCGTAGCAAGCCATTTGTACCATGGTCAGCGCAGGTAGAGCAACCTCCCATTGTGAGAGAACAGAGCTATCGACATCGGCCTCATTCCCATCGAAGAGTCGGAAGGAGTCAACTAGCGACTGGCCCGTGACCTCCTTATACGTCCGGTCCATTTCAAGAATGCTCCGCCTGAACTCTGGGTAGATCGCATACATTTGGCGGCCCATATGGATGTGCTGCGGTCCTTGACCAGAAAAGACAAATATTACCGGGGATTTGCGGCCACTAGCTATAAAATGGGGCTCTGAAAAGAGAAGCTTGCCCTCCGCCGATGGATCGAAGATCGCGAAAGACCTCCATGGCATCTGCAATGCGCGCCGGCCAAATGACAAGGAGACTGCCGGATGAGACTCGACGCTCCTCAATCGGATGAGCTCCTCAGCAGACGAGTTAATCGAGGCTACTGCCCGAGGCGAAAGAGCGCCCGTTACCAGAAGCGTGGGCCTCCCGGCGGACTTGGGGAAGACGCTGGCCGTCTGAAAGGTGTTATGTTCTTGGAGCACGACATGCCCACCTGCTCCACCTATTCCCCAGCTGGAGATGCCAATGTGAGAAACCTCTGGATGGTGTCTCGGTAGCGATACCGTTTCATTCGGGACCTGGATCTTATACTTCTGCCACTCGATCTTGGAGTTCGGGATGGCGAGATTGACATTGGGTGGAATGGACCGCCGTTGGAAAATGTGGAGAGCTTTCACAACGGATACCAAGAAGGCCACTGCTTCCGTATGGCTGCATAATGTAAGAACTCTTGTCCCGCACACGGAGGGAAACATACCCAAAATTCCCCTTGACGCTCCCACAAATTACAGCGTCTTCTCTTTGGCATTCTTCACCCACCCAATTTGCCTCGGTTGGGTCGCCGGCCGCGGTCCCTGGACATTGCGGATCAAAACCATGTGATAATTCGTCAATAGTGCAGACGCACCCGTCGCATGACATTCTACGAAATCGACTTGGCTAGGTTCGACGCCCGTTCGGGCATAGGCGTCAAGCATAGCTTGTCGTTGAGCCTCAGCAACGGGTGCATAGACCGGGGAAACGGAACCCGTATGGAGGATTGCTGAGCCAAGCACCTAGAGAATGTCGGATATCCGTCAGAGATCCGTCGAAGATGCTACAGACGAAAACCCACGTTCGCGTACACTCTGTCGCGGTCGTGGACCGCTCTCTGGAGTGGCTTGATAACGATCACAACAGCACCTTCTCCGCGTGAAAACCTGCGAATCAGAGTGATAGATCGGTCAGACCAATGTCGAGAAGGGCAGAATGGATGCGTTACCCGTCTGCATGCTCATCGAAAGGCTTACACATCCCGTCAGGTGACAGAACCGATGCATGAGAGTACTGTATCCAATCGAACAGCCTATAGTACGATTAAGGAAGCGTGCTCCAACTGAAATCGATTTCTTTACCTATGATTCAACTGGCAGCCTCCGACGACTGCCGCTTCGCACTCGCCCTTAGCTATCGACTCCAAAGCGAGATGCATAGCGGTGAAAGTAGAGCTGCAGGCCGTGTCCAAGGAGACAGACGGCCCGCGGAGATCAAGATGGTATGATATTCTGTTGGCCAGCATAGAGGGTATGTAAGCAAAAGTCCCCTCGGCTTCGTGTTCGTGCTGTTCATAATTTGAGTGAATATCTTATATGATTGTGCAAGCGGGGAACCTACATAATCGCTCAATGCACCGAAATCGTGGACGACTCCGGCCATGAAGCAACCAACACGCCGCCCGCGGTATGGGATGGCTGCATCAGTGAGAGCATTGAAAGACAGCTCCAACAGTTTCCTCGCGCTGAGCGGCAGAGCGCGCGCGTCTTTCAGGGTAAGGCCGAATTCCAGGTAATCGAAATGAGAGATGTCTTTCAAAAAGGTTCCTCTGTCAGGCACGATCTGACCAGGCCCCGTGCCATGTCGGCTTGGCCAGATTTAGTACACGAGCCTGAGGCTATGCGTGAAGCTCTTACCCCTTAATGTTGAATCTATCCATTGGTATAGTTTCATAAGCATCTTTCGCTTCATCCAGGAAGGTCCAGACGGCCTCGTAGTCAAGGTTATTTGCGGTGTGCGCCCCAGAGGGTAATTCGCAGGCCACGCCCACCTTCAGCGACAGACTATGAGGACAGTAGAATGATGTTATCGTGGACCACATACGATTGCGATACGACCGTCGGTCATCGGGGGCGGTCTCGATGTCGTGGTTTAACTTCAATGAGCCGCGGAAAAAACCCGTCTTCAAAGGATGGGTCACTCGGACTTCCACTAGGAGTGAACCTCTTTAATACGAGATCGGCTCCCGGTACGGTGGTAGAAGTAAGACGAATTTTTGGCGGCGCTCGATGCAGCAGTAGAAGTTAGATGTCTTTCTGACCCAGGGGAACTTCGTCTCACCAATTGAAAGGTACGAGCCTCGAGTACGGAAGTCGCCGACCAAGGGAGGAGCTGCGCCAATGCTCTACGGAGCTGAGTGTCCGGCCAAAATTACATCCAGAGACCGAATGTATGATTCTCATCTTCCGTCCCAGACCTGATGGAAGCCATACAGATCATAGGAAGCTATAATGGCAAGCTCAGTCCATCAGATACTGTATAATCCGACCCTCCATTACCTGTTATCACGACCATCTTCGCACGCGGGCCTTGTGCAGCTCATCACCTGTAATATTCGTTGTTTATTGTATTGGACTCGGACGACATGTTTGCAAGATGGCCACAAGATAGAGGTACCGGCTCAGTCGCTTACCAGGAGTTTTCCCGCATCGTGCATGCTAGCCAAGGTGGTATAGGCCCTAGCTAGTTGAGCCTACTATTGGACTGCAGACAGGCGGAGCGTACGAAGCTGATCGTGTGTCAAAGGACTAGCTCTCTCATGCCACGTGCCCTGAGGCCACTGATGCCGGCCCGGGTGTGCAATGTTCGCAGGAATACGATACCGCCCTCAAAGAAAATACCATGGAAAGCTCTCAGCACCGCCTCAGGAGTCGGCCGTAAGTCGCCTGCATTGTATCCTCGATAACCACACAGTTTCGTCACGGTCAGCGGCAGAAAAGAAACGACGTGGATGGCCTCGGCCCCATCTTGCCACGCATGATCAGAACATAAGGCAAGTCTTCCTCTATTCTGCCTCAGGCTACTATTATCAGGGTTGTTTGTTCTCCTCCGTGCTGCGACGAAGATGGTTATGGCCGGAGGATCTGCAATCCCGACATATGTTTGTGTCACAACGGTGGCCATCATACAGCGCTCCGGTGCTTTCGGGGGTGCCTTGAATGTCTCGACTGATGATCCACTTGCTTGGGACGCGTCTGTCAGGATAGCGTAATGTATAGCCTGAGAGCAACACAATGCTTATTGATACATTCTAGGACGCGATCCATTGCAGGACTGGGAGCTGAGCACCGCTCGCTAAGTATACCGTATGTCCACAGTTGCGAACGGTCGAGTCGTATTTGTCTTGCGGATCTTCGCTTTCCTTGCGGATCTTCGCTTTCCTCTGAGGTGCGGTCCTCTGTTCGAGTATCGGTGGATTTGGAGGCTTGTCAGCCTCCATTTTCAGCTGGCATCCTCAAGTCAGGATCAGTGAGCGTCACGATGTATCATCTGATGTTGAATGAACATGGGGAACCCTCATCCCCGGACTCCAGAGTTCACGGTGAGTGCGGATTCTCACATATCTCCCGGGTCATGTTCATCCCTCTGTTATGAGTACATCGTCGTATAACGGAAGATAGCCCTGATGGCCGAGAAGGACGAGAAAAAGTTCTGACGGCACCGTTATACGTTTATCTATTTGTGAGAAGAAGGAAGGTGTTCCTGGCAGCGATAGATAATAGACCCTGAACGTCAAGAGGAGAAGAGGTTCCGAACGCCACCAGGATTAGATCATGGCATGTCAGAGTCTTCTCCAACTGCAGCAGAAGAGCCATATAAGCTTTGGCAAGACTTCGTCAGGGTCGGATATAAGAACTACTCTGGAAGGTGCGGCGCAAGATGATGATCAAGGTGAAATGCATCACCTTATCCGTTTTTCTACTTAGTCTTCTCCCAGATTCATCAGATAACCTGGGTCGACGCAGGATATCCGCGACGACGGATCATTATTCTGGATCCACCTGGGAGCCGTTTTTGCGTGGATCTCCACACATCGCAGCACTGGGCAAGCATGCACAAGGGCGAAGACGGTTTCTCCGCTTCGCACATTAACCCAATCACAAGTACTGTACATGCGGGAATTGGTGTTCGCACCATCCGCGTGATACCGGCGAAGTCTCGAAAACCGAAGGATCCCTGGGCTCCCGTTGCTCACTACTTTTGTTATTCTCTCTTCTGCCATGTTCGAAGCTGCCGGTCAATCCTTTAGCTGTGACAGAGATATGCCCTATATTATCCCAGATCGCTCTAGTAGTACATAATTTTATGTCAGGTATAGGCCCTGAAGCAAGACAACAACCAATCCAGCCAGCCACTCTCCTCGCCAATGACGGCCAGTCACCGGCGTCTAGCACCAGGCAACGATCCCTGTCGCTATGCCAGATCTCCATCAAAACCGTAAGTACCCGCTTTTGAGTTGCCGGATACATCTACGGGCTCCCCAGAATCGCCATCGTGCTCGACCAGCCGCTTAACATTGATTGCAAGCGGCTTCATCGGGTACTGTGCGGTTCCCGTTGCGGGGTTCGCGTTCATCCCAGATTTCCACGGGGCTTGCCCTCGGCCAGTGGCTCGTTGGTAACTCGAGACTCCCGACGCGGTCGTTCCGTTGTTGCTGATACCCAGACCGATTCTGACCAGGATGAGACTGAACGTCACGCCAATAAGCGGATTAACCTGACATTCGCCCACCAGTGAATAATGAAGTATGACAGTGTAGTCTGAGGACAAGACTTACCAGGTCGAGTGCGGGATATTGCCCGTTGGATCCGCTGAGGTACACAACCAGGAGCGAGATAAGGGCAGCAGAGTATATCGCCCCCGATTCGACGACCACGGCGACAACGGGGAGGAAACTCATTTGGGCAGCGTGGCCTATCGAGCGCTCTCTCCACCAGAGACGGCCGGCAATCAGCGCTAATGCAAGCCCATAAGTCACAACTAAAAGCTTCCCTGGACGGGAATTGACGGACCAGTGCAGATAACGTTGGTGCAGAAAGTAAGGCTGAAGAACGAGGTTATCCACGGCTGGAGCGTCGATAGGAAGATGTCGGCTCCAGGTACAACTTGGGCTAACTCGTACGAAACTCCGTATCCCGTTACTGGCGGTGAGTGGGAATCAGAACAAGCTTTGTCTCAAAACCTTGTGACCGTACCTGCATTGCCCACTATGCAAAGTGCTGGGAAAATGATCACCCAAAGGTTTCGATTCCAGACTACCCATGTCCGGTACACCTGTGCGGTGTCAGAAACCTGAAACGAATGCGATGAATTGTGTCTACCCACCACGAACGAATCTCCGATTATGGTTTGAGTAGCGTAAACAACGGTTTTCGCCACTTGCTTGGGGTTCGACAGATTTGCATAATAAAGCAAAGCTCCGTCCTGTACATTTTTCTGGCCGATGAAGGCGTCCATTATGCGAGACAGATCGATTGCTAGATGCTTCAGTGTACCATTAGCTCAGTCAGATTCGGCGTTGCTGGTCAGACGTACCACTATGGCCAAGACAAACATTGTAGTGACGGTACTCATCATCACAATGTTCGCTCTCCTTGAGGTACGCTTATGCGACAGGATCCATAGTACTATACAGTACAGGATAAAGAACATGCCTTTTCGTTGCATGGACTGAGTTACGTATCGCCCATTTATAATCCGAAGTGCGTACCGAAAAACATCGACTCGAGGAATATAGCCACCAGCTATGCACGGATACCGTCAGATTGAGGCTCTTGAGTACGAATAACCCCAGACAACAGACCTGAGCGGCATCGAGACCGATTCCATCCATAGTTCAGAGAGGGTGAGGGATATGAGCGGGACCGGGGATAGTACAAAGGGAGTGTCGGGGTTCCACCGTTCACCACCCTGCCCTACTCCCATTTATTATGCGTCGCCATTAGCCCTCGGCAACGGGTACCCAAGGCAGTCGGACAAAGTCTGATGCTGCTTCAATTTGCGTCAACCTAGAACACGGAGGGCATCAACGGGATCCAGGGGGAAATGTTCTAGCGGTCACACCGTATATGCGATGAAGCAGGACTGTTAGGCACCCTGGATACTAAGATAGGACTTCTGCTACGGTCGGCACGGTTGTTTCCGTAAGTGGAGTTCGACTATGTTTGACCATCAGCAAACGATCAATGCCTGAGAATGGACGGAAGCAAATCCAGACTCCGCGGCGTATGCCCCAGCAGAACCGGAGGATTTCACCTCGACGTCGCTTACGCCTTTGTGGCGGTCAGAACTGACATGTACTCGCAGCCTGCATCATATACATCTCGCACGTATCCCATTGCTATGCACAAAGGGACTTGGCCACCTCGGGGTGGGCAGCTACGGGTAGCTTTAGCTCTAAGTATCGTGGGAGAACTCAGGTTCTGATACTGACGGTTCTCCATCTTCTCAGTGCAGATTGCCTATACGGTATTCAATCACGGTCGTATGGGTGTCCCTTATATGACTTCGACTTCTCTTCTGGGTCGGTTATTGTCCCTCATGTGCTTTTGCTTCCTTCGAAGGAGTATGACATACTTGATAAACGAGTGGCAAGTCTTCGCGCTACAAAACCGAGATCCCGCAGCCCAGCGTGGAAAGATGTGGAGAAAGGGAGTGGATTCGACGTTCTCCTGGGAAAGGATATCTGTGGCCAACCCCGCACATTTTCTGATCAGACATTTCGATCTCTCATGACCCACCCATAAGGTTATGATCTTGGTGCGACAGCCGAAGATCCCGGACACAGCAAATGGTTCATGACCGAAGCATTGACAGCTATTCAAGGTGGTATCTCGCGATCGGATTTCGCCCTGAACAAGACGTCGATCGCAGTCAAGCTGCCACTTCTGCTGAACGGCATACTGGCTATTGCTAGGTTATACAGAAAGATCAGTTTGAGTACAATCACTTCTGATAGACCGCTCATCATTCGTACGACCGAGCTACTGATATATAAATTGAAGTGACGTTCGTATTTCCGACAGGACAGTGGCATCTAAGGCTCATACGCACGGCTACCGTACGTAGGAATAGCACTCGAAACGACCATCAACAGCCGTCTGCTTCCTATCCTCGGCGTAACTAGCCATGTCGACTCTGACTTTCTCCCTCCCTCCGTCCGACGGGTCGTTGAGTATACCCCAAGTCTACGACTACCACTATGTCCACAATGCCGGTGCTCCTCTGTTCAAGTACCGCGCTAGTAATGGGGAAGTCAAGACACTATCTTGGGCTACAAGTGTTCGCGCCATACATCGCGTCGCCCGCCTGATTCAAGCCTATGTCGAAAATGCTGGTCAACGAGGGTCCGGCTCGAATCCCGTGGTTTTCGCGATCTTAGCATCCATAGGTTGAGTCTAGTACTACTTCACTGAAATATTCACTGATTGTCGTACTGAGTAGACTCATTCACTTACTTTGCATTAATGGCTGGGATCATTCGTGCTGGCCATGTGGCGTTCCCGATTTCCACGCGAAATTCACAGCTGGGGACAGCCCATCTTCTCAGGGAAAGCGGCGCAAAATACCTGTTCCTCAGCAAAGATGACGTTCATCAGAAACTTGGTACTGAAGCCAAGAATATAGTTCTGCAGGAGGGCACCCGGGATATTACAATTGTCTCACCCCCCGAGTATGCTGAACTCTTTGAGAAAGAGGACGCGCATTTCGAGCTTCTCTCGCCGATGTCCAAGCCGAAGGAGCAGCAGCCCGCTTTGATACTGCACTCGTCAGGTTAGTGTGACTGCATTACTTTGCAACTGCTACTTAGCAATTGCGCTAGGATCAACTGCTTTTCCGAAACCGATCACTCTTACGCACCGTATATTGTTACAGTGGGGATGCTTACCTTGTGAGTGCAGTAGAGATTTGAGTTTGGCGAATTATGTCAATGTATTTTTCTTGCCAGACTTTGGAGAGACGAAATTATGTGGGAAGGTGTTATCATGCCATTCTCTTCCCATGTTCCGTAAGTCATAGACGGCGTGTTGCCTTTTATACGGAGGGGAGTAATTATTTCCACCAGATGCGATGGGCGCCATTCAGCTCATGTGGACGGTACGTGCCCTTGTGTGGACCATGATTAATTCGTCCTCAAGGCCCTCATCAGGCAATGAACGGACTGATCATGTCTGCGTTCGCTCCGGCTGATCCTCCTATTGTTCCCTCGCCCGACCGTGTCTTCGAGGATGCCATCGGCACGGGTAGCAATTTTGTGTTCTGCGTGCCCGCTTTCGTTGAAGTGAGAAGCACTTCAAAACGTTTAGTGACATTTCGTTGATAGATCGCAGTATTGGTCAAGAGACCCGTCCAGGATCCAGAAGATGAAAGAATTATCTTCCATCGTGCGTCAGCGCTGCTTAAATTGAATTTATCGTCTTCCTTATGGAAAATTCCAGATCTTCGCTGGTGCTCCTATGAATCAAGCAGTTGGAGACATGTTGGTGGGACAAGGCGTGCCCCTGGTACCGTTCTATGGCGCGTGAGTGTGATACGCCGACAGAAAGCAGCTGCTCCACTGACTGATACACACAATAGGACTGAGATTGGATGCGTAGTAACCTTTTTGCCCAGTAAGTATCATATCCCTGAGTTCACAAGACTGTTCTAATTAATATTCGTAGAGGGACCCGCGAAGGAAGGGTGGGAATATTTCACTGCAAGTCGACAGGCCGTGGATCCGCATTCGTATTCCTCACTCATGTCTCACAGATTTCCAAACATTGTCAACCGGTGTTCCTACCACAAGAGACAGCGGACGACATCTTCGAACTGGCACTCGTGGTAAGCATGGGTTATGATCTTGACGTTCTGCAGCATGTACTGACTGTACGCCCAGGATTGCGACTCCCACACGCCTTGCGTGCTAAACCATAAAATAGACGGCAAAGCTGCGTATGCGACGAATGATCTCCTGATCAGGCACCCGACAAACCCCAATCTGTGGAAAATTTATGGACGAGCGGACGATCAGATTATGCATTCCACGGGGGAAAAGGTGGGGGAAGGGACTTTCAATAACCTAATCTTCTTGCTGACTGCGACGTAGACGAATCCAGGTCCATTGGGTGCGAATGTGCTGTCAATATACGGTATTGATGAATGACTCACGTTATGTCGCAGAGGCTATACTTTGCACCGACCCTTTGATCAGCAACGCTGTCATGTTTGGACGAGGCAAATTCCACGCTGGGGTCATCGTCGAGCCTGTCCCCGCTCAGCGCTTCGATCCCAGCGACCTGGAGCGGCTCGCGGAATACAGAAATCAAATATGGTCCGTGCTTTCCACTAGATAAATCGTGAGCATTCGCTTATACGTTGCACCAGGCCGACCGTGGAGAAGGTTAACGCGTACGCCCCGACCCATTCGCGAATCTTCAAGGAGGTAAGTACGTGTGTGATGCGGGTACTGCCAGAGCGGTTCACCTGGCCATAGATGATCCTCGTGACGAACCCCAGCAAGCCATTCGAACTGACGCCTAAAGGCACTCCGAGGCGCCACGTCGTATTGGCTGCGTACGAACAGGAGATCGAGAAGGCGTACGCCGATGTTGCCGAGTCGTCTCAGATAGAACTACCGACTCCGAAGACGTGGGATATCGAGGAAAGCGTGAACTTCGTGCGCGCGGCGCTCGATAATGTGCTGAAAGAGAAGGTTGGGGATGAGGATGACATATTCCAGCATGGATGCGACAGGTTTGTGAGCTCTCAATCACTGCACGTAAGCATCATCTTTACTAACAACTCTGCCTCCAGTCTGCAAGCTACGTGGATCCGCAACACGATCCTGCACGCACTGCGCGAGTCCAAAGTCCCTACTCGGCACATCCCGCATAACTTTGTCTACCAGTATCCCACCGTGCGCAAACTCGGTGCCTTCCTCGCCTCGACGGCGCAGCCCGGCGCGTCCGCCGCCACCCCGTCCGCAGATGGTATGAAGCTGCTAGCGGACAAGTACAGCGCCCAATTCCCAGCGCACTCTCCCAGCGTCCCCGTGCCCAACGCGGAAGCGGTTCTGGTTACGGGGACCACGGGCCGGCTAGGGTGTCACATTCTCGCCACGCTGCTCGCGCAATCCTCGGTGGCGCGCGTCTTTGCGCTTAACCGAAAGGATGCAAGGACCCAGCGTGGACTCGAAGCCAGGCAGAAGATTGCGCTAGAGGACCAAGGCTTGTCGCCGGAGCTAGTGCATCATGAAAAGCTTTCGTTGTTGGAGGGCGACGTGGTGTCATCGCAATTCGGGCTGGATGGTGCTATATTCAAGGCCATGCAAGAATCGGTGACTTGCATTATTCACAACGGTGAGATTCCTTATCTGGTAGTGAAGATTGATAAAAGTCACTAACTCGCGGGATGAAGCCTGGCGCGTAGATTTCAATGTGTCCCTCAGCTCCATGGAGCCTATGGTCGCGGGGACTCGCAACCTACTCGACTTCGCTCTGTCCTCGAAATTCACTTCCCCGCCCAAGTTCCTCTTCGTGAGCTCACTAAGCGTGTACAGGAGTGAG